TTACACCAACACCGCTCCTAACACTTATTCTGGTTAACAACGTTGTTTTCATTAAATAAATCAGCTTTATCAAGGAAACTTTTTTTTCTTTAAAATCTTATGTCTGAAGAAAAATCTAGTTTATTTACGAAATCCCCGGGTAAATATCTTGTTATGGAAATCAGAAATGACATCAATAATATTAAATGTAAAATTCATGTTTAATGAAAAAATACAAAAAAAATACCAACTTCTCATAAGAATGTGAATTTAGACTCCAAATTCAATTAAGCTAGGGCAAAACATCATCAAAAATGACATCGATAATATTAAATGTAAAATTCATGTTTAATGAAAAAATACAAAAAAAATACCAACTTCTCATAAGAATGTGAATTTAGACTCCAAATTCAATTAAGCTAGGGCAAAACATCAACACCACAAAGCTTTACATGGACACTCGTGCAAAAGTACAAGGAGAAAAGGGAGAAAAATCCAGGTGTTCCGGAAGCGTTAGCGTCTTCTGCTTCGAGGACACCCGCCATGTAAACAATACCAATCCAAGCAAGTAATATCACCTTACCAAATGAGGACACGGTAAACAAGAATGATACCATCAAGTATATTTACAAACAATAAACACACCCAACTTCATATCTCACAAGGATACATTTCTTAAAAAGGTCATTACTGAAAATGTCCTTACAAAGATCACTGACAGTTCTGTAAATAAACGCACTCTGCGTATTCTGAAGTATCTTATACTGCAAAGGTTTCTTTCTCTCAGGGTGGCCCTTTCGTAGTTTTCTCCAAATTGCGAATATTACTTTCAAAGAAATCCTGGAATAGACTAGGTATTTCTCAATTCATTTCATTTCAAGTGCTCTGTCTTTAAGGAGTTTATTCTATCCTCAACAATGATGTCACTTATAGTATTTCCTTGTTGGATATATAATTATCTTGTTTACATGTTGTGGTATTTGTAAATATTGGTTTGTTTTTCATTATTTTTTTAGCATTAGAGAAGATGATAAATTATAAATGATTAACTGTGCAAGTGTAAGATTATTCATTAAAATAATAGATTTGTTACTTACAACAATAAGCATATAAATTTTACATTGGCGTCATGAAAGTAAAATTTAAAAAATTTAAGACGAGTTTAAGACGAGTTTAACACTGATGTTCATTACGCTGTCAACCCATATAAAATTATCATTTTATCTAACGTTTACAGAAGGCAAAATACAATATCATTTACAAAAGGCCTACATTATATAAATCACGTTAACAGTTACTACTGCCCTGCAATATCATTAAATTCACATGTAACCAGTTTAATCATTGATATCAAACAGTAAAGTGATAAAGTTATATCGTATAGATTTGATTTCTGTGTCACTGCTTTCCCGTGGGTTGAATTATCGTGACAGACCTATCCAATATCACGACTAAAACAAATTATAAAAATGATGTTTGTCTGTAGATATATGAAGACCATGTAGATGAAATAATTGGAAATTAAGGGGGAAAACACTAAATTTGATATTCAGTTATTGTTGTTGCATTATTCATTACGGTAAAATCTCTATACGCCCCTATTCCTGAATATATTTGTGTAAGTCAATATTTGATAACCAGCGCATTTTTTGTGGTAAAAGTGGTGATTACTAATGTTCCTCAAAACTGTTTTCAAATGTCTTGTCTTCTACATGGCCAGGTTAATAATAATTTGAAAAAATGTTACAGATAGGTATAAACTGTAAAGAGAAATATTAAAACATACATTTCTATATTACATCTAAATGTAAATGTAGGGTTTTTTTTACTAATATAAGTAAAACTTTCGTATATCAGCAATAACTTCGTTTACATTAAGCAACGTGGAGAACACATTTCGAAGTAAGATCAGATCAGTGAACTAGTCAATCTTTGCCGAATGCACTTTTGTAGGTTCTGTCTGTCACATAAGTTGGTTAATATATAAAAATATCCCATAATATTAGTTGTTGATTTGTTTCCTTTGACGTTCGAGGAAACGATATTCAAGAGAGTTGTTTTGCGGTTATATAACTTGCGTCAACGAAGCCGAATGATAGGCGTCTCAATTTTATAATTAGCATGTTGCGGTTGATAGACATTATCAAGTCAGTCTAGCGTGACCATTTTACGGTATAAAATCAAGGGATACTGACATTTTGATATCCTGTACTACGAAACAAGATGACAAACAATATACATTTATTTCTTCTGATCATCACGGTAAGTTATTTCACTTCGTACTTTTCCTATCACGTTTGTTAAGTTATATCTTATATCATTTAATACATTCTACGTTTGTTATAATGCGGGTTCAGCAGAATAGATGAAAATGACAATAACGGTAAGGTATTATTCTTATATATTGAATTAACGACGAATGACTTAATAAGGCAGAATAACTATATAAGGTATTTTGTCAGAAAGTATATGATATATAGAAAATTCTAAATAATAACGGCATATATTTATAACAGATTATAAACACATTACGATGGGTTTACAACAAGATATGCATTACAAATCAAGTTATATAAATATTTGTTCATATACGTAGCTTGACACAGCAAACACTAGCAATTATATTTAAATATACTGTTATCTTGTTCAAAAACTTTCTGAACACTGCCCCGGTTCCTATATTGAGAGCATGACAGGACCAATGTTACATTCATTATGAACTTCCATGTTCGTCGATGAAACAGAGGAAAATCCCTCTCCTTCTATGTATCTGCTATTTCTTCATTCTTTATTCCGTTTTCATCTCCATCTTCTCTAGTAACACATATATAAGATATTACATGTATTTAGCAGTATTGATCACGATAATAAAATAACATTTAATGTAATGAATTCCTTGTTTTAAAAATAGTCTTGCCATTTTTTATTTAGGTACTGGTGTCTATATGTCACCAGATTTCTGGTCAACAGCTGGGCGGACCATTTGCCATACCGGTACGCTACAGAAATCCAATCATCACCAAATATTACAGCCGATTTTGTAAGGTAAGCAAAATCCAAATATCACCAAATATTTCATCTGATTCTGCAAGGTAATTAAAATCACAGAATTTACAGTTTGAGTAATAGAAAAAATCAAACTCTAGGCTTGAGGTTTGATATTGCAGCTTTGTGACAATTGGCTATAGTTCTCTATTATTGTCATTCATAAACCACTATTACAAAAGCTGGAACTGGATGTCTGTTTTATCAATTTTAATCATTTTTTTTTATAATCCTCGACTATCTAGATTAGTATTCAATATGTCTTGATACACATAAAGTTTGCCTGTTGTTTCATTTACAAGGACTATAATTGCCATGTAGATAGTTCAATTGTATCTAAACAAGTATATTTATATATTTTTATATATGTACGTTTTTATAACATTCTAATAAAAATAAATTCATGAAGGAAGCATTATGAGACGCTGTTCTAATGAAAATGCCAATATGTCGTGCTTTTACGCGTGTAACTGTGCTCACGTTGATGATTACAGAACACACAATGTGGGTTTGAAGCGGTGTGTGAACGCCGGACGTACCCATGTTTGATTCCTACCTGTCCTACTGGGCCGGGTTGTGTACAGAGTAAGTAAATATAATAAACGGTATTTCTTGTAAGCGACAAAACCTTCTCTGTCAACTTGTGTTTTAGTGACTTCTGAAATGTTTAAGAGTATAGTGAATATTGCTGTATTCTGCCTGTTTTGAATTCTTTCCCGTGTGTTATTGGAAATAACATAATTAACATACGATACAACATATTTTTTACTTCGTTACAGCTCCTGGTGGACTTATAAAGAATGGGGAGTGTCCTCATCCATCTTTAATCCCAGAAAAATACTCTGGTAGGCGGTACCAGTGTAACTCTGATTATGGCTGCAACGGAAGTACTATATGTTGTCATGGATACAAGACCAGTCGCTGTATGCGTCCACGACGAAGAGCCAATCGAAGAAGATACTAGACATTGCACAGATCTAAAGAAATAATCCAACGAAAATCTGACCGTCCACAAATATCATTCATGAAAAGATTACTATTGTGATATGCAAGTTCATCATACATTCTTAAATATGTCATAAAACATTGATTCAAAGGAAACCGTATTCTTTATTTATTTTTACGGTTACAGGTATTATTCTGTAACAAAAAGGTTCTTTTTTATTAATTCTATGCAGTCAACACATACAAAGATATGTGTTGTAAAGTTTGGAAATCCGCTTTATTTTACTCTTCCAACCTAGGGGAAATATGATGAGAACAGGTAAGTATCATAAATCACATGATTGTTATGTTCACCTTGTGTTCAAAAACTGTTTCAGACTGACCTGGTCATGACATAGAAACCCTGAATGGATCCCATGTAGATACAACAACTACAGACCAATAGTACTATGTGATCAGTTTATTTCATTTTATTTCGATTGAAGGAACATATTTCACATGAACTCCACTAGGTGATGGAAATATCATGTTAAAGGTACAACAGGATGGGGTGCTCTTTGGCTGCTCGGCATAATACAGCAATATTGTATTACTTATAAAGGCACGAGGTTATGTATCACAGGGTACAAGTTTTGTCAATGTTTCTGTAGCTGGCAGTGATGTGTAACATATATTTACATACCAATATCAAGCTCAATGTGTGTCTTTTTGGCAGGAACGCTGCAATTTTGGTTTAATAACCAAAGCATCATATATGTGTTTTACATAAAACAAAATGTTCCCAATAACTAAATAAAAGTACACTACTAACCCAAAGTACTTCTAATTATACAGAAACATTTAGCTGTGATCCGACATGCAAGCGTATTGTCATATACCCTGACGTTCTATGCTTTTTCTGATGAAGATTATAGGAAAGTAAGTGTGAATGCTATAGTTGGAAATCTTTGTCATCTACAAAGTGAGATAACATGATGACTATCACAGACAAGTATACAGACACTGACAAACTAAATGTCTGTTGCTGGGCCCAGTGGTAACTACAATCCAGAAAGTGTAGTTACAACACTTTATGATATTCCTTTATCAGCATTAGTCTTTATGTTTCCGTGGTCTGTCAACACACTAGACTAATCTTGTATATCTGGTCAGGTTCATCATCTGACCACTGTCCACTCAGCCCACGTAGCCATAGTATGGAGGAATGTCTTCATTGCTGTACTTTACCACTTCTACACTTCGCATCATCTTCTGTGCCGAGGATCTGCAACAAATTCAATCAGTAATACAAATAATTTACGCTGGAAACAATACTAAACAAAAACACATATATAATTAAGATTGCTAACACTTATTTCACAACAAAATTCAAATCCACCTATGGCATGATTTCACGAATGTGTGATGTTCAAAGTTATCTCCCCTGACAGTTACTTTATAAACTGTGTATATCAAATATTTGTTCTTACTTTGGAATTCCTTTACAGTATAGGATTGTCAGACAATGCAACTTTTTACATCCTTTCCTCAGATACTTCAGAGCTTTCTCCCTGTACACAAACAAATTCATCATTAACATCTTATACCATTGTAACTTTCGTACTTATTTCTATAGAAGAATGCATATAAAATTCACCATAAACACGTTTATTAATGATATAGTGTTGTGTAATGTCCACAACTTACAAGTATTATTTAAAAACTTTATTTTATGTAAACAATTCCAAATCGAAATCAAAAAATCAAATAGAACATTTTTTTTTTTTGCAGCTAAAATTCAAACTTATTTTCATTCAAGATGCTTTCCAAAGAAATGTTATGCCCTGTAATCCAATTTTAGAATAAGTTATTAATATGTTTTTACAATGTAAAGCATTTTAAGCTATACATACGTGACAAGAAGACATCCACTAATGTCAAGGCTGTAGAGATAGTGACATACTCCAGATAGGTACTGGATACTCAGGTTAGTTACCTGTAACAAGTAAATACAACATTACACTACAGACATGTACTGGATACTCAGGTTAGTTACCTGTAACAAGTAAATACAACATTACACTACAGACATGTACTGGATACTCAGGTTAGTTACCTGTAACAAGTAAATACAACATTACACTACAGACAGGTACTGGATACTCAGGTTAGTTACCTGTAATGAGTAAATACAACATTACACTACAGATAGGTAATGGATACTCAGGTTAGTTACCTGTAAAAAGTACATACAACATTACACTACAGACAGGTACTGGATACTCAGGTTAGTTACCTGTAACAAGTAAATACAACATTACACTACAGACATGTACTGGATACTCAGGTTAGTTACCTGTAACAAGTAAATACAACATTACACTACAGACAGGTACTGGATACTCAGGTTAGTTACCTGTAACGAGTAAATACAACATAACACTCCAGACAGGTACTGAATACTCAGGTTAGTTACCTGTAACAAGTACATACAACATTACACTCCAGACAGTTACTGAATACTCAGGTTAGTTACCTGTAACAAGTAAATACAACATTACACTACAGACAGGTAATGAATACTCAGGTTAGTTACCTGTAACAAGTACATACAACATTACACTACAGATAGGTACTGGATACTCAGGTTAGTAACCTGTAATGAGCAAATACAACATTACACTACAGATAGGTACTGAATACTCAGGTTAGTTACCTGTAATGAGTAAATACAACATTACACTACAGACAGGTACTGAATACTCAGGTTAGTTACCTGTAACAAGTAAATACAACATTACACTACAGACAGGTACTGGATACTCAGGTTAGTTACCTGTAACAAGTAAATACAACATTACACTACAGACAGGTACTGGATACTCAGGTTAGTTACCTGTAACAAGTAAATACAACATTACACTACAGACAGGTACTGAATACACAGGTTAGTTACCTGTAACAAGTACATACAACATTACACTGGAATTATGTACTGAGTGCTCAGGTGACATCCAAATTTCACCTATAATGACATGTGTTATTAAGAATTATGATACAGTAGGTTATATATTACTTACCAGCTTACATCCAGCTACATTTAGCACATTCAGCATTCTACAACAAAACGCTAGGTTCTTGATTGCACCGTCTGTTATCCCCTATAAATATAATGAAGCGTTTTAACATACAAACACAGCAGACATGTAAATATGAAAAAGTTTACAAATTTCTATAATGTGGATGTTGAGAACTTTTATGTCAAAGAATTTGTATTGTTCAATTTTCGACAAAAACAAAACACAGTATCATTATATAACCATAAACATCCAAAGGGTCAAATCATATTGAAACACAAAAAACATAATTGTCATCATTTTCTTGAAGAATTTTAAAGATTTACGCAAATGTAATCATAACAAATGATATCTTAATTGCATGAAATAATCTGATGTAACAAAATTTTGTTAGAAACATTGCTAGCATTGTTTTAAATGAGGCACATTATTATGGACATAGAGACTTACCACACAATGAGACAGGTCCAAACGCTCAATATCTTTACACTGCTGAGTAAACTTCTGTAAACCCAGGTCTGTGATGGAGGTACACTCTGACAACGTCACATCCTTCAGGCGAGTGTTGTTACCAAGGGCAGATAACCCCTAAACAGATAAAGAAAATTCATCAAATTCCTATAAAACAGATGATATCAACTTTGATATGCTTTCGACTTCAATGTCCCAACTATTCCTTTACCATATCTCCTCTACATATACTTTTCATTTGTTTGTGTTTAGCAGGTTTATCTCCCCAAGAACAGACAGACAAGGTTTCCTTTTAGTAGCTGGTGACAATTTAATAAGACCATATACAGGAGACCCTTCTTATGCCATCCTGAGCTGTAGTAGCATAAATATTTTGTCCTAGGACACAATCATGACAATATAAAACAGTCAAATTCTCATCTTCCTGAGAAACACAAACCACCAAGGATAGAGAGCATTAAACCCAGCAGCTTAGATCATCTCCTGAGGTTAGGAAGGCCAACACACTATCAACTGAACTATCACAGTCCCATTTTTTTAGTAACACATGAATTTACTAAAATGTATGTTATTTGTGTTTTGTGGTTGTAGATATTGATAAATACATATAAATATTTTGCATATCATACCTTACAAGAAATCATGTAACTTTTGTTTTATAATTTGATAGGATCATTTGAGCTTACGTTATCGCCACAGTTACAGCCTGTTAGGTCTATAGATGTGAGGCTATGGATCTGTCCCAACAGTTCAACACCTGCTTCTGCGATATGTTCACAGTAACACACACTCAGATGGGTCAGGGAATGGCACCTAAACATAAAACAGAACATATATATAGTGTCAGAACCAAAATGTCACAGTAAGCAGATTTTACTGCATATGAAACATCAATATCAAATTATCAGCTATATCTGTTTTAATAGACAAAGGGAAACAATCTATATGAAACAAAATATCATTAAAATCAGCATGTTTATATGTTTATAATGAAGAAGTTAAGAATACACACTTCCTGAGGGCTATGAGGGACATGTCCCCTACTCGGATACAGTTGGTTAAGTTGAGCTCTCGTATCTTCTGTGTTGCTGGCCCCTCTACCAAGCCTTTGACTCCACTGTCTGTCACTCTACAACAAACAATGGTGGAAATAAGTTTGTTAACCCCTTGACAATTAGTGTCAATCATTTTGGAATAAACTGTAATTTTTAATCAACAAACAAATCTGATACAACAATTTCAGGGGTGTAAATCTACAAATACAACATATATACATATATATATTTACAAATTGTAAGTGAACTTCATTTGGCGAAATGAAATTTTAGCATATGCGCAAATAAGCACTATATGATGAATTTGTGCATCCACAATAATTACATGTGTTATATGAACATCATACAGATACTCCAATTTGTTTGCATTCCTACTTACTGCAAAACATGCTAAAATAAGAATGCTATCAAGATATATATCCAATGACAGCATGAAATGACTATATCAATGTTAATGTCATGGGCTTGTTATAAGCCCTGATCTATATATGTATGTCCCTATCTCATGACAGAGTGTGCTGACCCCTGGGCTTATTGCAGGAAAACAGTATACAATCATATAAAGTGTTTGGTTGATACATGAAAAATGTTTTAGATAAAGAAAATGATGAATCATAACATAATGTTTCACCTGACTACATCAGCAACATTACACACGACCAGGTTTTTACAGTTACTGAGGGCCTTCAATGACAGGTCGGTCAGCTTCTGACAGTCCGCCACGTAGATGTGCTCTAGTTGTGTACAGTTTTTCCCGATCACCTTCAAACTCTGGTCAGATATCCTGTGATTACCTGTTAATGGACAAAAAAAAATTTGGGATGACAACATTTCATCAGAAGTTTCACGACAAAAACCTGACAGAAATTCAAATATGCATGGAAATGGAAAAGAAATTTGTGTCAAACAAATCAGCTGGCAATAAATGTTACCAGGAAAATGTTACCAGATTTTGCAGATCTTTGTGAGTAAAGAAGCAAACCTGCTTGTCGATAAAGTATGACAAAAATACTTTCTGTTTTAACTCCTCCAGCAATGATTTCATACCTTCTATTCGTAGTTTCTTTAACTTTCCACGTTGAGCCAAACGCCGGAAGGATTCATCAGTAAGCAGTGGAGAACCCAGTATGGAAATGTTTTGTAATTTAAAACATTTAGCAGTGACAGGCTGGAAAAAAAAACATTGAACAGTGTACATGGAAGGAAATGATATTAAGGAGGTTGATATTTTACATTAGAAGCATCACTTTGATATACATGTATATTAAAGGTAATTTTTCTAGAGATTAACTTCGAATTATTTTTTATGTTATTGAGCCATGATATAAAAAACAGAATGTTCTCTGCATAAATTGTGAAGAAAATGCCAAAAGTATACTTCAGTTTTTGTGTAATGGCTTAATAAAAAATAATCAAAATTAATCATCATTATTTAAACATAGATTTCAATATTTTTGCAAAACATTGAATACTTTCTTATTCACCGTATACTTGAATGAAATCACACTTAAACAGTTATTTTAAGTGTTAGTCTGACTACATTTAGAGTATGTGGCAAGTATTTGGAATCCTTACGAAATGATCGACGTCCAAAAAATCGAATGTGTATGACAGTGAGATACCAAACTGATACCTGGCCTAATAGAATTATCTAAAATTCAAATCATATATAGAAACTTCAATTATATCAAATAATGTAGAATACAACAAGATACTCAGAAAGGGCAGTCATTTACACAGACTTACTTTTAAGCAGTCGTCGTTTAACGTCGCAAAGTCATTGAGGATTAGTGTATGTATGTTTACACATCCAGAAGCTAGGTTCTGGAATCCCTCGGGAGTCACCTACAACACCAAAAGATGGGATAAAGGAAGATATGCAACATTTATTCAGTTTATTAAATCATGTGACCATTAGATTTTTGTCAAAATAGAACAAATATTTTGTATGTTTAAATCAATTCAAATATTATGTTGAAAACATACAACAGTCTTTCACTGCTTTTTCTAAATACAAATGTATATAATCTGCTGCCTTTGTATATTCTACTAAGGTGAACCTAACAGCTGATATCTATACCAGTGTGTGATATAGCTTGTTTTCATACACTGGAGACAAATTTACCTGTGAAAAGCATGATAGAGGCATAAATTTAGCTGTATGAATTCTTTAGATATCCAGATATTGACTGCAAATGAAACAGTTTTATCCGTAGACAGCCTGAGAGATCCAGGTATTTAGTAAAACTGAGAAATATTCACCTCTAGACAGCCTGGGAGGTCCAGGCATTTAGTAAAAGTAAGAAATATTTACCTGTTGACAACCTCAGAGATCCAGGTATATTGATGTGAGAGATATTTACCTGTAGACAGCCTGAGAGATCCAGGTATTTAGTAAAAGTAAGAGATATTTACCTGTAGACAGCCTGGGAGGTCCAAGCATTTAGTAAAAGTAAGAAATATTTACCTGTTGACAACCTCAGAGATCCAGGTATATTATTGTGAGAGATATTTACCTGTAAACAGCCTGAGAGATCCAGGGATTTAGTAAGAGATATTTACCTGTAGAAAGTCTGTGATATCCAGGTCTATCCTATCCCCAAGAAGTAATTACCTGTAGACAGCCTGAGAGATCCAGGTATATTGATGTGAGAGATTTACCTGTAGACAGCCTGAGAGATCCAGGAATTTAGTAAAAGTAAGAGATATTTACCTGTAGACAGCCTGAGAGATCCTGGTATATTAATGTGAGAAATATTTACCTGTAGACAGCCTGAGAGATCCAGGTGTACTGATGTGAGAAATATTTACCTGTAGACAGCCTGAGAGATCCAGGAATTTAGGAAAAGTAAGAGATATTTACCTGTAGACAGCCTGAGAGATCAGGTATATTGATGTCAGAGATATTTACCTGTAGACAGCCTGAGAGATCCAGGTATTCCAGTTTCTTGCTGTTCTTTCCTGATGCCAGATACTGGAGGCCTTTGTCTGTGTATTTGCGGCATGAGGCCATGCTGAGAAACTGGAGGTTGGCACAGTACCTAGTAAAACCATGTACACATTATACTTACTTTAAGACAGTTTATAGTGATGTGTCATTGACAATGAGACAAGAGATGTTAAGATACAAAATAATTTTATGTTGTATACATCATATTTTTTTCGAGACATTTTGCAGCAATTTGTCAGTGACATTGATATAACAGACAATTATATACACATTTATCTAATACTCACTTTGACATCGTTTGAAATGATGTGACAATGAAATTTAATGGTATACACATTAATCTAATACTCACTTTAAGATAGTTCTGAGCGATGCGTCGGTGAGATTTGTACGAGAGATGTTTAGATATAACAGTATTTTATGGTATACACATTTATATAATACTCACTTTGAGATAGTTCTGAGCGATGCGTCGGTGAGATTTGTACGAGAGATGTTTAGATATAACAGTATTTTACATCCTTTGGCTACAACTTTCATGTGTTCATCCTGTTAATAGAATTAATTATGTAAGGTAAATACAATGATTACATCATAACACAAAATGAAGACATAACACCTGGTGCCCCTGCTCCTATACAAACTAGAATCTGATCTGGTGTAGAACTTGATGTTATGATACTATAGGGTAAATATTAACCAAACTTGTTCAGACAGGAAGTAACAGACACTTAATCCCACCCCTACTACATCCCATTAGATAGCTGGGCATAACAATTAAACAAATTTGAACTCATGTTCAAGTGAAAAAGACCAGAGAAATCTGCCTTACCTGTCTTCCATTACTTACAGATGTTTACACTACATACAAAAAGATCACAGGCAAAAAATATATGACTTTAGCATTTACATAAGATGAACTATCAAATTTCCTAATTACTCAGTGTAATGACAGGTAATACATTTTGATATTAAAAGTGATGACAGATACATTCATACTCACATTCAGACCCTTACACTCTGACAAGTTGAGGTCCTGAAGATTTCGACATTCGCTGATGCTGACAAAGGTAGGTTCCGTGACTTTGACACAGCCACGAAGATTGAGATGAATGAGGTAAGGGCGACACTTGGCCAGAAGTCGGGTAGTGATCTGATCTGTCACACTGTCACAGAATAAATTAATCCAACATAATGCTCTATACATTTATATGGAAACTGTTTCTTTTTTTGTCTTTTTTTTTTCCTGTTTACTGATAAAAAAATCATTTCAGTACTCTACCTCATTTTGTTTTACGATTTCAGTTTCATAGTTTTACTTTAAATTGATAGTAAATTTTTTTCTCTTAATTTTTGAAGCAGGAAATCTGCAGGTTTTGTGGCAAGTTTTTGCAAAAAAAAAAAATTAATCACTTTTTCATTCATATGTATAATAAAATAATTGTAAATAAATGAAAAAACAGAACTTTGTTATAATAATGTCTATTGCTGTCACTCGTACTACATTCTACACAAGCATATTAACACCAATCCTTACAGAATCTAACACACATTACTATACTACATCCACCACACAGTGTCACTTAACATTTCTACCACCTCTGTTTTCAAAGCTGACTCAGCTACTGTGTACCTAGGTATACCAACTAAGCCGTCTTGGTGCCTGTATAAAGCATTACCTATTACCAACACAAAAAGCACAGCCATGGCACTACTAGCACATCTGATATAGAAACTGGAATTCTACGAGGTAGATATTTTCTTAAATACTTCTTGTACTTCATTTATATGAATAATTATGATACAGCAGCTTAAATCATTATCGCTTGTTAAAATTTTCAAAGTAATTATTTTCATTTTGATTTTTTCATGAATTTGGGTGATGAAATCAACCAACATCACTACACCAGTTCTTGATCATTTTGCAAACCAAAAACAATGTACATATTCATGCAAATAAAAAAATTTGACCAAATAAATACAACATTTACAAAAGATGATTGATTTACTGAATGAGGCATATATATACATTATGAATGTCTTACCATATAGAATATACTAAATTACACATACAAATAGCAAGTAAATATTCTATAAAGTTTCTGTGATGTTCATACATTAAAACTTAAATCACAACATATGCTTTGCTACCAGGCCCTAAACTTCACAGCAGACATGCATGTTTAGCACTATAACCCTACTATAGCACAGCAAAAAGAAGCGTTCATGATGGTCCACAAAACATACCCATATAGCATTCTGGACACAGGCAACCAATGCCGTGCACATCACAATGGAAAAGTAAGGTGCAAAAAGTCAAATCAAATTCAAAACAAATCAAAGTGCACAAAAATGTGCAATTATGTGAATACATAAAAACACAAATACATACTGGCACATTAACATGTACATGTAAATCTGAGGAACTCATTCACACAGTGGAGACAGACTAATACACTATCACACACGGAGGCATATGTTCACATATATTTGGTGGCACTCCATTCTGATCACACATAGTTTCTTCAATTTGTGAACAATAATCTTGCCAGCTGATGGGGACTGAGAATGATGCAAGCCTTACACACACACAAAAGTGAAGATACACACACTTTCTTGGAGTACACATATGCACACATACATGTAACAGCACATGTACACCTACATACTTTAGTGATTTCACACCTACATGTATATACCTACAATTGGGGGCACATGCACATACTTGTGAAGACACACTTACACACATATCAGGTACTAGTGAGGGAACACACATATTTGTGGAGGCAAACCTACATATGAGGGCACATCCACACACCTACAAGTGTTGGCACATACACCCACACTTTTGTCGGCACACATATACACACATACATATGTGGGCAAACATACACCTGTAGGCACACCTATATACCTAGCTACAAATGGGTGCACAAACACATACTTCTGGGGGCACACATTCACACATATTCATATCAGAGCACATTATCACAGGTAAAGGAGAACACATTTATACACATATTTAACATACCTAAGGGGGAGGGGGCATACAAACACATAAACATGTGGGGGTCACAAATACAGAGAACATTTTCAGGGAACAGTAATACACACATGTAAGAATAAAGAATAAAAAAATAATGATGTGCATAATACATAGTGATACTGAAAACAACAGAGCTGTCAATAGATACAGCATCGCAAAAACAATAAAAACACAACACAGCTTTCTTATACAAAATTACTGTCAGACATTAACACGTAACACAATTACAACATAAAACTATAAAAGTGAACACTTAGAATAAAAATCATTTATAGCAATATGTCTCTGAACTACACAAACAACTTTAGGTGGTATACCTTAATAAAATAGAGTTTGAATGAGAGACTTAAACAATGATTCGTCATACTGTGTTATTTCTAGGGTAATATATAATCTATAAATGGTCAACGTATTCATTATCATATATTGTAATCACATAGTTTGAAAAAAATTAATGGCTGGTCTAGTTTGGGAAGGGAACTGCTGCTATTTCATCCTAATTTTAAACATGAATTGGACCTTTAAGTATGAGAAAAACAATTTAGTTATGTCAAAAATGGAACTATTCCACCAGAAAGTTCAGCTATGTTGTTACACAGTTCAGAGTCTGCTGAAAGACATTTATAATTCATCTTTATAAAACTTGAAATTTTGAGTAAATATTCCCATATTTTTTTTTTAATTGCCAGTCTGAAATACCAAAGGTTGAAGAGAACAATTGGATTTCAGGAATAAGAAATTGGACGGTTTCATGTGTAACAGAGCAAACTTCTCACAATTTTTGTATTTTTAAGGTCTTACCTGTTTCTCACTTTGAAGAAGTCCAGCTGAAACAAAAATTATGCATAAAGTGAAAAAAAAAATTTTTGACTGAATTTATTTTTTCTGTTGACAATGTTATACAAATATATAAAGGTCTATACAATTCTTATCAATTGATTTCTCTACTAGCTAGCGTCGAAACTTACCAAAGATATAATATCTATAGTAACTAATTATGTAATTAACAGTAATAGACTTTCGTTTATTTCAATAGTATTTATTTCAAGAAAGAAATAACCATGACAAAGCTTAAATAGTTTTGATTTGAAAAAAATATGAAATTTAAAGCATAACCATTTGACCTATAAATATCTCAGATCTGTTGAGATCAGAGGTAGTAGCGTGTATGTACTAGCCAGTGTTATATATATGGTGTACCTACCCGACTCCACAGTCCAGGAGTCTGAGTGATGACTTTCCAGGACCGACACACACGGGAACACCTTGCCAAGTCAGCTATATCCACAAAGCTGAAGATCTACAAGTTTTTAAAAATTTGTACATGTAGGTAGGTACTTTAGACCTTGGCAATGAATCAATGTAAAAGTTAGGTAAAGCCCTGACAGATCAATATCTGATTGATGTACATAATTAACAAGGCTATTAAAAATTGAGTCACAAATTCTGACAAATCAGTTTAGAAGTATGGCATCTTGAATTATTTTCTACTTGTTTGGGGGATATTACCCTGTTAAGTGAGACTAGGTCATATTTTAAGAAGGGTCCTTGTGTACATAAATGTTTCAGTAGGTGTCTATCTTCCTTGCTGAACAACACACTGGATGCCAATTACAAGCCATCCACAAAACTTTAAACAACATGTCTTGCCTATTTAAGATACAACTTGTCCATGACAGCACAGGACATTGCAGTTTTTATCTTCTTGAGAAACACATACACCATGTGGAGGGATCCTAAAACTACACCACAGATCTTCATTCCAGATCGCTAAGTCTGATATGCTCTACCAACTCATCAATCCCAATCTGCTGAATCCTATTTGTACAGATTGTAGATAATATTCCATCATCAAGTTTATCTTTATTTTCATAAACCTGTCTTTCAACTGTTTGAAAATATCAGCTGTTTAATCATTCATCTTTTTCAGGAATTGCACAGTTGGTGGCACCGTGGTTAAGTCAACTCTTTCATATCAATGTTTTTGTCATGTCTTTACTGTCTTCTATCAAAAACAAAAATTGGAAATAAAAACAAAAATTCCACATTACCACAAATGTAGCAAACCATCAGCTGATACAGACCTTGACAGCAAGATCGCCGAACCCAATGTCTCTCAGATGTGAGATGCTGTCCCGTGCTTCCCCTGTTCCCTGGCCAAACGTCTCATCATCTTCCATGTTCTCACCACGCTCAAGTTTCTTTAAACATTCATGTTAGGTGTTACATTTGCTATGTGTATATGTTCACATATCGTATTGGTCAAAGATCATTTGTAAGTATATCTTCATATATCTTATTGTTCAAAGAACATCTGATGATATAAGTACATTATAAAGATCTAGTTCTATCATAACATTATATATTTCCTCAGAATATCAGTTAAGTAAATGCTTTCAGTTTGTATAATAAATGAACAAAGATACCCGTTCATTGATTATGATTTCAACAATAAAATATTGATATAAAACTATTTATCATTTTAATCATTACCATATTATCTTCATTCATCATTTATCAATATTAAACGTAAAAATATCAAAAAGTTAAAATAAGAGAAAAACAAAAATAAAACATTTAACAAAAGCTTAAAAAAAAACTCAGAAATAATTACCTTGCATGGTTTGTACAGACTTTGAGACATAAAATTCCATAATTTTCAGTTATCAATCGAAGCACTTTAATTTCCGACTTTTGAGGGATATTGATTCACAATCACTTATTAAGGTAACATTTCCCATGTTAAAGAAGGTTACTAATATATTCACAATTGTAGATTTTTTGGGGGGTGGTTTTAGGTTGCAATTAACAATCATAAAAAAATCAAAACAAATATTGCTCATGATTTTGTCATAACACAGTAACTACAGATAGTTTCATGTGAAAAGTTTAGGAACAATTGTTCATTTTGAATTTCACTTTACACCAAAGATTCAAGGACTTCTAAATGCATCAATTTATATCCAGCCAAATTTTGGTTACAAAATATTTCAGACATAATACTGAATGATAAATTCCAACATGTAATTAAGTTTCAGGCAAGGGCTTAAATTCAAGGACGTTTTATATCTGTATAAATCATGACTTGTAAAAAGCACAATAGAAAATGTAATTCGTTAAATTGTTGAATAAAAATCCCAGCTGTAACGGTCCAGCAAAAACATGAACAGAAGCCAAATTATTCAACATCTAATTAGCTCTTATGTTGTTAATGTATTATCGACTGAAATTGTTTAAAAAACAAAAAAAGTGAGTTGAAAATCTGAAAAATGATAATCATTGTAGCATTTTCTATCTGTCTAAACAATCTTACTATGACTTAACAATGTAGAAAATTAATTTTTCTGAAAATGATAATCACATTCCAAACATCTGGGCTAATTTCTGTTAAAAATAACAAGCCCCACTGATATTTGCAACCCTTCATTCAATCATTGTAGAATGACAGGATTTAATTTCAAGGAATTTTTTTAAATGCTGCATTATTAACAACAGAGAATCTGGCCTACATTCTTTTCCTGCATACAAATTGTATATGAGTCTCCATGGTAACCATACCAATGGTGGTGGGACTGGCAAAAGTAACACAACAATAAAGAAAAATAAAACAACAAGTAAATAAAACACAGATTATAAAACTTTAAACAGAAACAACAAAAAATGAAAAGAAGTTTTCGTCAATAGAACAAAACATTGTTCCAACACAACTTCTGGTTGGATGTGAACAACTCCTGTACGACTACTTACAGGTTCTGGGAATTTCATTTTCTTGAATTTTGCACTCATAAATGGATTACGATTTAGTTTTATGACTGCCATCTTAGTCTAAATAAACAATTAAAATTGATCCACACAGGTGAAAATTTAGCTCATTCATGTAGCCTCCATGGATATCAGTAAGTTTACTTTAAAACTTTTAAACTGATAAACAAAATACATTATCTAGCTAGCCAATGATATATGGGTTAATTTTAAAGCCAGTGAATGTGACATGCTAATAAATATTATCAATTAGACATGCTGACCTGTTCGCGTGAAAACGTATCATCAGGTGTAAGCCATTTATACAAAAAAAAATATATATATATCCTGTTTGTAACATAAGCTTAAACATAAGCTTCAAGGTAACCTACAAATACACTGACCTCCACCGTATATACATGTAGCTATATTTATCTACCACTTCCAACCACCGTCAATCTCTAACTCACTATACTTATTTATACTTCACATAGAGGGGGTGATGGGCATTGCAAGTATACATAAACACAGCTGAAGACACTGCCTAGCAATACAGGGAGAGCCACAGGGATGTGTAACCAATCAACTAGGTACAGCACAACAACAGTAAAGAGCAAAACAAAATGTGTGTCCACTCAAAACTTGCCTGAAGAACAATCGACTCATCAAAAACTGATTGCCAGCAATATATTAAAAGTTAGGTTATGTAAATACTCAAAGTTCTAAGTCCCATTTATAACCATTTGTGTACTTATATAAGAAATGTTATCTCTTACACAGGTTATTAATTATATAACCTTTCATAAAGACAAAAAACACTCCTTGGAAACAACAATAAAACCCTAAGCAATATACCAGTATACTCTATATCAATGTCATAATTTTTTCTAGTTTCAGTCAAAGATAATATAGAATCATCTGCAAAATACAGGTGAAGTCAGAAACTTCATGCAAGACCGTTAAAAACATGATTGTTTCATCATATTTATCATCATATTGATCTTAGTTTGATCTCAGGTGACAACTGTAGGAAAAAGGCTTTGGCAGATCAATGTTTAAAAATACAAGTGTATATATTCCTTAGACTGATATAAACTTAGGAATCAACAAGCTTGTGTAAACACTTGAGGTATAAAGACCCAAACACATAAAAGCATAAAGACATATAGTCTGTCTACCCAAACAATCACAAACTAATACAAAAATGTAACATCTATATAAAAAATTAGGAATTATGACATGTATATCATGAAACACCTAGAAATGTTTGTTGATATAAGTGTGGCTGAAATTGTTGGGTGTTGATATTTGTCTCACTAAACATCAATTCTTACATATACTGTATGAGTATTGACACTGAGTTTGAAGTCCCTCTATCAGTATCAACATAGAATTATAAAATGGACTTTATCCAGTATCAATTTCAGATTAAATTTTTTAAGTTTATTTATTATAGTCACCTTTAATAGATATTAAGACAAACTCAGGACTTTCTATGATCAAAGGGTTGGACTGTGTGTAGAGTGTTGACTAAAGTCTGTCAGCAGTATAACACTGAGTTTCACTGATGCAGGATGTCTTTGGTGGAGCTTTAACTCAAGTCAGCTTCTGCTTGAATATTGTATGAAGGTTACCTGCACTTATGATTTGACTCAGAACTGTCTGTGTTAAAATTCTGACTCAAGAGTATGCACATGAATATTGACTCAGAAATGTCAGTGCCAAGCATTGACGCAGGACTGTTGCTGGTCTGGTAAGTATTGACTCAGGACTGTTGGTGCTGAGCCAATCAAACCATCTCTTACTCCAGGACAATGCAGCTGTCCAGGAACAATAAGGTTTGTTGCACAGCATGGTGACAATGCAGGACCAAAAGCCACATGTGATGGTGGTATTTATGTACATACTAATGGCTGCAACTAGATTATACAAAGTAGCAGGATACCAGTCTACTGGGTGACAGAAAGAAGGGCCCGTCCCCCTGATGGACTGTAGACACAAAGGAAGGGTAAAAGGATGAGAGTCAGAAAACCAAGTTTAGTATAATGTGTTCCTACTGTACATACATAAGTTCATCAGGCCATAGATCCTGTATCATAGAGTGTACAGTTCTTATATACGGTTGGGAAGTGGGCTTGAAATGTTAAAAACAAATGAGTCTAACATATTACATCATTGAATGGTACAAATCAAGTTATGAGCTCTACTCATTTGGATTTTAACAGGGGAAAAGTTTTTACAAAATTGAAGAAAAAATCCTTTGAATTTAAAGTGAACTCAGTCCATCAGGGGAAGTAACCCACGCATATAGGATGAAGTTTGTGTGTGTAGGAAACAGAAGCAGTTAGAACATCAACACAAAAGGAAACTATAGTTACCCTCAAATTTATCTTTGAATCAAAATAGAGTGACAAGGATTACTAACAGTAAGTCATATCCAGTAACAATGAGTGGTCTCCCTTGAAAGACCCCAGGACAGTAGTAAATATATTGATCACATAGCTGCATGGTAACCAACACTAAGGAAAACAAAACACTATTTATATAGTACCAATATTTCTATCATCAACAGAATTTTTTTGTTGCTAATTCAGAAGGCCATCACCAAAATAACACAGCAGATCCTAAACTGCTAACTGAATGGAATTTTTCTAACTTTGCTTCAATTACAAATAAACCCAAAATTTCAAAATAGCTCTACATGAAATTTTTTTGAACATATCTGATGAATGTTTTTATCCAAACATTGAAAAACAAATCAGTATTCATTACACTGCTATATTAGTCTTCAGTTATTCATACACAGAATAGAGTCTTATGCAAGCTGGAATTCAGGAATAAAAATATGAAATAAAATAAAAAAAGTTACATTTCATTATATTAAATCAATATTACATGCCATCTTATTTCTTTAAAGAAAATCAAAAATGTTATTTTTCATCACCTGTTAATAAAGAATGCACTCCTGATACACCATGCTAGTTCATCTCTCCAGCACCTATTATAGTGCTCCCTCACCTGTGCCCTCTCACAAATGTTTCAGCACATGTACACCTCATCAGTTCATTTCATGCTACTCAGCATAAACGACCAAATCAGAAATGTGTTGTGCTCCAAAATATACTTTTAATGAAAATCAACAGCCCAGTGACACAAGATTTAAATATGTATTTTGCATTTTAATTTTTTTTTTTTTTTTCATTTTTATTCTGTTGCCATGAAAACGTGTTCAAAGTGTGTCATATAACTGAAGCAAGTTATCTATAAAGAGAATATAAAAGACACTGAATACACAATTATGTTTATTTGTATGATAATTTTCTTTATCTTTATTTTCCTCCTGTCTTTCATCAGGAGACGATACTTGGATGTGTTACTGCAGAGGGCGGGAGAGATGAAGTAGCGAGTTAGAACCTGTTAGTGGCCTCTCACCACAGTATACTTATAGTACTGACCAGCTTACTCTGTACAACAAATAAAACAGTACATATAGGTTTCTCCAGATTGTGTCTAACAACTAAAAGAACTGGCTCAAGATAAATCTTGTAACAACTAAAATACTTCATGATACATCACCTAATTACTTAAATACCTGGTAATCACAGACTACTGGCAGACTACAATTTATGTAATGCTAATTGCAATCACTACATATTTTACATAGAGATACTGTTTATCTAAAAAAAAATGTTGTATAGATCTTATCATCATAAAATCTAAATCATTGAAATTCTTGCTTAATTGCTACCACACATTTGTGATGTCATACCTATATCATTGCTCTATCACACACAGTTGTATTTACTACAGTGACACATGGGATGGACTGGGGTCCCTATAGAGCTGCTGGTGTATAGTGACAGGAACTATAAACTGGTGGGGACAACAGCACTGACAATAAAAATTCTGGATCTACAGCATTCCTGTTGTCATGCAACAGCTACAACCAAAACTGTACATCCAAAACTGGAGAGTTCGGACATCAGTTGTGTGACCTACCTCGAAGTATTCCCTCTGGTTCTTTGCCCGGACGGTAGTCTCATGCCACTCCTTGAAGATGACTTTTCCGACAGAGATATGGTAGATCTTCTTTATCTTTTGATAGGACACTAAGGACACAAAATACAGCTTAATTTATTATATAGAAATATCCAGCATCTCATTTCAGATAATCAGTTTTTCTTCTTGACAGATCCTCATCATAACCTTTCAATTCAGGTTGTGTTCTCAGAGTCACTAAACATACAAGATGTAGTAAAAGAAAAATAGATTTAGCACTCAATATTTAATGATTCAGAATACTGTCTCTCGGCTAGGACTGCACAGCTCTATATATATGTTACCAAGCTAAGTTGGCATTTATATCTCAATCCCACACCTCATGAAGTGACCATATTTTTACACTAATCTGAGACCAAAACATGGGATACAGACTTGCTGTTTTTATTTCAGTTCTACATCAATAAAGAAACTTTTCTTATCATCTAATGATTTCGTTGACAATTTAATCTATACGTACTGGCTTGGCATCCCTTCCTGTACTTCACCCAGTCCTGTAAGTGGAAAAAAAATATATATTTAACCAGCTTTGATGTACATCTACACAAGGAACTTCTGTTTTACCAAATTAATAACAAGAGAAAGTTTTCACTTTTCTGAATGGGTTACTAACCTTCCATTCATCCAGATGTACTCTCATCACCTTCTGAGCACGATGTCTTTCTGCCCGCTCCATTTGTGATAACATCTTCTGTAATTTTCTCTTCTTATAGAGCGAGTATTGCACCCAGGCACTGTCAACATCACATTAAATTCAATGTAGATAAATTACTCTCAACTTTTCATTCGGTTTTCTTCCCAAAGTTTTTACTTTAAATCCTCTTAAAATGTAACTTATATCAGTTAAGTTTCTAAAATTTATTTCCATTTCATGAGATTTTATGAAACTCATCTTGAAGTGTTAATTTCGGCTTACCAAGACTCACAAAAATAAAAAGATTTGTTTTATAAAATCTCAAATGAAATAAAAATTAATTTTAGATCCTACAAGTATGATGTAGGTACAAGCTGGGAAGTCAGTCTACTGTTAGTCTATACAGGTGTCTGACCTCATAATGGGCCTCACATGGAACTCTAATTCCTGTTAGTAATTTGAAAATCTATTTAGCTCTTGTCAAGAAAATCTGAAAAGATATACTGATAAGAAATTTTTTATTTTGATTTTGACAACCCATCATCTGAAGATGATGGGCCTGAAAAATATAAGAGGTAGCTGCATGACATCAAATATCGCAGATAAAATGTTGTCTCTTATAGCATCATTTAGTTGTTCTGGCATCATGAGAGAGTTTAGTACATTTCAAGTTTAATTGGTTGGTCTGGTTTTAACTTCTCTGTTTTGTTCATCAAATATCTTTACCTCCTTCCTTTATAGGCTATGTAGCTTTATACATAATCATTTATTAACTAAACACTATTTTCACTAATCAAGGTTAACAAAACTTTTATGAATATCATTCAAATATTTAGTTTCCAGTTATTTACAACAAATAATGCATTCTTTTCTCTACACACATGTCCAATAAAGAGACAACTTTATATTCGTATATGTACTGAATTAAAAAAAAAACCTACTTAAACCTCCCAAAACAGATAACATTCACTTAGCCCTTTAATGTTAACCATGTATCACCACAATTCTTAATTCTATGATAGGATTCAAAATTGGTTACATACCTGAAACACATCATCTTTAGACTCCTGTTGTAATGCTCATAAGCTGTTGCATACATCTCGGGTGTGGGCTACAAAAACATGTAAACTTGTTTAGAAACACATGGAAATGGTCCAATGAAAAAGTCCCGTTACAATGCTAATATGATTTGACTATAGACTAAACATTAAGTAATTGTAAACTGCAGACTTCATTACTCCCTGACTACTGTGTTATCAACTAGTTGGTTCCTGTATGATAAACAATTCAATTCTCTCTCTATTTACCTAAAACAAATGTCTATTCTTGTCACATCAAATCTCTGATAATTTATAAGGTGCAAACAAATTCTTCACAAGTGCTCAATTAATTTTTTTTTTACTCTTTATGTTTGATAAATGAAAATGACATGAGTCATCTGATAATCTGTTTGGATTAGTCTACAGGAGACAAATTTCCTAAGAAACACCTGAGAGTGCTACATAGCTGTTAAAATATCACACAATCATTGTACAACAGTTTAATACCTTAAAATTCCAACAAACCTTCAGTCAGAAACTCAGGTAGTATATATATAACATCACAGTGATAATGAGCTTTGTGTGCTCCATAGTAACATGGAAAAATCTACATTTATCACCCAGTTTTTACAGGTGAAAAGCAAGGAGTGAGATTTTAGCAGTCATGCCGTAACCAAGCACAAGGTCAGAGTCCCCGTATATCATGGTAAGTATAGTTCACTGATTCACAGCAAAGATAAGTACAAACTATATATATATATGTATAGTCCAAGATCAGTTAACATGCACTCTGGTATATCATATCCATCAACCTCCCCAATGTTTCCTCCCTAACAAGTTCATACATTATCAGTACCATTATAATTTTACATATTCAATTTTTTTTCTTTTCTTTTAATGAAATGAATTCTAAAATGCAAATGTTTGTGTATTATACACAATTCCACACCAAAATCTACTGAATATATTTCCCTAACACATTACAGATAACATACAATATATGTAAAGATTCTACCCTGTTCATTTTGTATATTCAGTACTACCTACAGCATGTTCTTTGACAGCCTATTGTCTAGCGTTCACAATCCTTTATATCCCATCCAAAGTTAACTTATAGGGTTCCCTCCTTCCCAATGTACTAAAAATGATCAGGACTACGTTCTAAGACATGTACCATACTTCCTACACATAAGAAGTTTTCCTGGCATCAAAAATACCCGACTGTTTTCCTAATTGTTTCAAGGTTTCTGTACCTATCACATTTACCATCATTCAATCCATCAATATATAATCTGTAACTTGTTCTCATTCAACTTTATCATTCTTTTAACCCAATAAAATTGACTCTGCACATCTCTCTGATACAATATGCTTCTCTTTACTGTCATTAATAAAGAAACGTGCACTTTACAAAAAAAATCTGAAAACATTTAGAACAGATTTATACTGCATTAGTTACAGTATTTATAACACACTGTAAATAATTTATCAGCAATGAACCCCAGGTAAAGAACACTGGAAGTGGGGCAGGGTGGATCTTGAAGGGAAAGACAAGTGTATATAGGATTGTCTGGTGTACTCTGGAGCGACAGATAGTAAACACTTCTGACACCAACAGTTGTAGATCAAATTCCTTACGACATACTGTCAAGGCTTGTTTTTAAATGATATCTTAACACAAAGAAATACCTGAACAAAACTTTACAGAAATATGTTATCTATCAAAATTTTGTAAAAAAAAAACAAAACAAAATATAACCTACATCTTAATAAAACAAACCTCAACAGCAATCATGAAAACCAAATAGTGTCTTGGGAATAGAGTTTCCCCATAAGTAGGAGTTAATACAGTGATATGTTTGAAGAGGTCACCAGGCTCTTGTAGACCTCAAACAAATCCATAGTGTTAAACCAATAGTCAATCTGCTCTATAGCATGCACAAAAAAGAACTTTCCATTTATCATGTAGGTAGTTATAGTACATCATTACTGTCCTCAGCTTAAAAAATTCAATTTACATTTCTTTAATCCCTGTTTGCTGAATGAATTTAGGCCCCCTAGCAACTGGACAGACATACATGCAGACTGGGTGTTTTATGAGTAGGGAGGCCATGTTACAAGCACCTCCGCCACTGCTGGCTAGCATACCCTTAGTCATGCAGGGTCTAAGTGTCAAAGCTGTGTCTCTTAGATCACACTCTTCATAACAAAATTTTTCAATGTTTGTGTCTCATGGTTATATTATGTTTATGTCAAATTTCTGCAATATAATACTTACACATCAGCAGAAGTCTTCTTCTATAGAAGTGAAGTGGTCAGAACATCAACAAAAATATTAATTTGAACAGTGTGCATGACATGTACCTTAAAGTTATTTTTCAAGTTTTCAATATTTACTCAAATTTTGAGAATTCACTTTCTCTTAACATTTGGAAACTGTGTTCTGACTACTGATCTTCCCAAAACTGTATTTCTAAGTTAATATTTTAGACAATTTTGTGTTTTTCTAAGCACACCCAGCTTTGACTTAAATGACCCTATTACATGTATAGATAGTAATGTGTGTGTGTCCCAGCTACACATCTCTGGTTAAGCTGCTAGTGATATGTGTGAGAGAGGTATGTTCTTTAACAATGACAAACCAAGGCCCCCAAGAACCAGCTCTGATTGATATCACCACTTCCTCGAAAGCCACTTCTTCCATCCTCTCTGTTAAGATATTAAGCTATAGAGACCTCCGTTGTCAATGTAAACACTAGGAAACTCAATGAAACTCCACACTTCATTCAATACCAGTCAACAAATTAGTGATTCAGACAATGTCTAGAAAATCACTAGGAAAAAAACATTAATGGATTAATGGGAGTGTATCACATTATTTCCCAGCTTACATTGGCAGTGGTGAAGGACATGAAATGATGTGAACAGCTGGAGGATTTTTGTAAACAATTCTAAGTAATGATCTGACCCTTCAAACTCAGATACTCAAAGTGTCGAAGGATTAAATGACATATACTTAATTTTTTCTGATTTGTATGACCTCAGTTTTTTTCACCTAAATTCATTTTAGTATATAAACATTGTTCCTGTCTTCTTGACAAATTCTTCATAATTAATCAACAGAATATTTTTTTTTTTCAAAAGAAATAAAGCAGTTCACAGATACATTTATAATAATGCAGAAATTCAATTACCTTACAAAATTACATTTTCACTTTAAAAACATATAAAAGTTTTCATTGATATTGAACAATTCATGTAATTCTGACAAAAAGCCTCCAGCTGAATCAGCATGCAATGTTAAGATGTACGCACTAGGGATTAATACCAATTCTCTCAATATCATGCACACCCAGGGTTTCAACCCTGGCAGGCACCAATTTTGTGCTGACCCAAACTTTCTTCGAGGCGGCTAGCCCCTGAAACCGACCCCCGAAGAAACCCTGTCCTTTTTGTATGTTCTCTGGGATATCAGAATAATCCTACAAAAAGGTCAATAATGTTAGTCAGGACGGTTAATTATCATCAGCTGTAGTGAGAATACCACAAAGAACCATAACTCTGGTCTGGACACCAGGGTTAGGAACAAATAACGAACCCAATCATAGACTAAGTACGTTATCTGAGTCAATTAGATTTATGACAATATTATTGCATTAATTAATCATGAATTTCTTTTCTTCGATATTCAGTTGTTTGAATGGAAAAATATATCATTAAAAATCATTAAGCTAAAAGTGCTCTTTTAAGTCTTCACTAATTAATTCATTATTAATACATTAAAATAATAGAGAAAAAAATGAAATAAGTTGATTACTTAATGATTTGTTAGCAATCAAACAGATATTGTATAATGATCACATAAAGTTTAAACAAATGTGTAAATTTTGAAATTAAGTTTTGAATTCCTTTTAAATCATTCCAGCAATGTGCTAATGCTGCACATACTCAAATACAATGTTCGATTTCTTGTAAGATTTTTCAACAATTTTATTTTACATGCACTGTCTGTCTGACCATTAGCAAATCAAATCATAGAAGATTTGATGTTTTACCCTTTACCAGAAAGTTAGAAACTACAATGTTAAATTTTACTTTTAAGAAAGAAATATTTTAATACTAAAAAGACTTTGATTATATTATAATTCATCTAAATTAATTAAAATTATTTTCAAAAATTAGAAATTGATATGTTATGTAGCCCTTCAAATTTGCCCATACCCTAATCCATAATAATAAAAAAAAGTATGGTAAAAAAACATAAAATAAAAATGAAAAAAAAAATTGTAATAGTTTTCAGTACTTCATCAGGATCATTATGCTTTTGTTCAGCCACATCTTCATCTGGCTAAAAGCAAAATTTATTTCAAGATATGAAGAAAAACATTAAAGTAAAAAAGCATTTTACAAAAACTACAGGGATTTAGAAATTTGAAGTAACAACCCTTGACATTTTTATGGCAAATGGCATTATGATCATAAATTAACACTAAATGGGAACATGAATAAATCTGTGAATGAACAGGTTTCACAAGAATCGCTCGATTGTAACATGAAACAACTTTCAATAATGAGCCTAGTACATACCATTGAAATTAAATTGTATGTAATGGATTTTTTTCTGGATATCTGACTAAATCAAAAACATCAGATTAAATAAAAGTTTGAATTGAAAGAAAAATTTACATAAAATGTATATACATTGTATACACATTCATGTTTTCAGTTATAAGAATCAAAATACAGGATACTATACTTTGTCAGTTTAAAAAAGTTTTTTAGCAATATTTACAACATACAAAGCAATATGCACTTCTACTTAAATTTCACAAATGAACTTGAAAACTGTTTTAAATGACAACAGATAAGCTTATTATTTGAGTACAGTACATACAATGATACTCTCATCATCCATATTGAAGATAAAGTCCAGGCTACTCTCTGCGATAACTTTATTGGTCGGCTTCATCTCTTGATCCACAAACATATCCCTGAGTACAAAAACATACTATCAGACAAACTTATAAATATTTCAGAAAAACTTGACAGTACAGGTAAATGTAGTTGTAGTTGCAAAATAACTAAAATCTTATACAAATGTATGTATATACATGTACATAAAGTGTTGTTATCTCCTTCTCACTTTTTTCTTGTCAATTACAAGTCAATTTAACACCTATGTGAACTCAAATATGGTTTTTGAAAGCAAAACATTTGAAAGAGGATTTTTTTTAAAATATTTTGATTCTATAATGATTATTAAATAACGAAGCAAAATAGAATCACACATTCAATTTGGGATTCAAAGAAACTGATTATTGTATAATGTTATTACCAGTTCAGGTCGCCCAGTCCATTCTCTACAAGAAATCCCAATTTGTCTAGAATAAACTGATGTGGATCATCTGGACACATCACAGCTAGACCCGTCAGCAGAGCCTGTTAATGAATCAAGCCATGAAATTCTTTTTTATTAAACGATAAGAATAAAACAATGCAATTTTTGGTAATATATATTTGAAGACCTGAATCTACATAGAAGTTTTGTCTAGCCTAGTTTTAGTTGTGTACAAGGTGATAAATCTACATGGGATTCGCGAGTCCTGTATTTAATTCTTATGGGACTCGTTGAGTGTCTGAAAATACATTGTATACAATGTATGACCCACTGACTTAGTAATAATTGAAAAGGACTCGAGGGAGGGGGTAAATTGTAGATTGATAACCGACTAGAGAATGACTCGTGGCAATAAACCAGCTTGATCAACAGTCGCTGGGAATGTGGGGTATCAAGTCAGATGCACTTGTCGACATAATTTAATTGTTGTTTTTAACAAATCAATGGATGTATGCGTAGACGATTTATCACTTAGTGCTTTTTAAATGGATACATCCGTGAAGATAACGTCTTGTTTATCCACTTGCCTCATAAATATCGGGAAGCTTATTTGACCTCAGGTACAGCTTCAGCTCAGGGGTCTGTCCTTTCATTGACGCCGCCATTTTCAATCACTATGACTTTGTAAGAAAAAGAAATTTGAGAAAACAAAATGTTGTTTTCAAAGCCAGGGCACTTGCTCTTTGGTCGCCATATTGTTTTCATGTAGCAACGGGATGACAAGCTCCCGGATGTACTACAAAAATATTAGAGTTGTCTCCCTTGGATTCAGAATAATCACACTTGAAAACGTCAACAAAAATTAAACTTTCGGGAAAATGAAAGAATGTAAATGCTGTTAAAAACTATTCAAAATTCGAGCATATACGCATTTCCTGCATAGGCAAGTCAGAATATTGAATTAGTGAGTGCATGTAAGATTTTAACAGCATCGTAATCAAAATAACTATAGGACGTAGTGATCCTTTGGTAATGGCAGACTCCTTCCTCGCTTTAAGCAGAGTTAGAAAAGGGTACCAACCAGAAAACATCACACCCTATATGCATTGTTTGCTGTACCACGTTCCCCATTTCGTTTCAAAATTCGGGTCATTAAAAAAATTAGCGGACGAACTGTCGAAAAAACAAATGACGAGATCAAACGAATTTATCCTCAAAAACAAAGTTGATCCCACTGTAGATGCCCTAAAAGTTAGAAAACGTATGGAAATGTGTAGAGAAATGAAAAGGTTGCCCAGATGTTATGAGAAAAGGAACGCTGGTTGCTGGGGAAAAGGTATTTTTGACACGAGAAGAGAAAAAACAAACAAAAAATTTTGGAAGAAATTCAAAGCAAAACAAACATCCCCGAGAAATGCGATAAAAGTACTTCTGACGAATTAAATGAACTGTCTGTGTCGGAAATTAAGGCTAAATTAGCAGACTTGGGCATCAAAACAAAACTTAGAAAAAAAGAAAAACTGATAGATTTATTCCTGGAGAATGTACGGAGCCATATTGATTGAAATAGACACTATGGTTACAGGATAAATGATTTTTTGCTGTGTCGTTATATTCATTACATTCTTTAATCGACACCGAAATTTTAAACTTATGTGTACATTTTGTATTCTTACAACTCTCTTTCTTTTCATATATGTATTTCTACAGTTAACGTCTTTGTTAGCATTGTACCAATGATAAATATTTCTTGATATGACAGAAATAAAAATAAAATATATACAATGATAAAAATAATCTATTGTTGTTATTCTGTAAAGGATATATAAGGTCGAGTATGTTTATCACAGTCTGACTTTGGTCCTATGTATAGAATGTACAGGTAACATGATTATCCCGACTTGAACCCGATTGGGATTTAATGTGCAGTACGAGTTATCTCCCTTAAACAGGCAAAATTGCTGGCAATGTATTGACAATTGTTATGTGTAATGTTATACAGAAAATTTATTCCATATCCTACTTTAATGAAGATACATTCAAGTGCACACACATTTGTACATATACCTATATAAATATGCAGGGATATATTGAGAAACTCAAATAATGTCGTCTAAATTGACGAATTCCCCTCCCAAAGTAATTTTTTCTCACAATATTGCCATTATTTGTTCACAAGTCATATTGCAGACGTCTGTCTACGCCAAAATGGCCCGTGTACCACTTGGCTCATCATCATTAAGTTTATCCAGGATATATGTACTAATTGCTATGCGTCTCAGGGCAGTTAACTTTCACACCTCGGCGGCAGGCCTTTTTTTTATCCCCGTTCTCCATCCGTCTTATCAGAAATGAGGTGTCTTCAAGAAGTAGATGGTTTCTTCTCAGAAAATATTGATGTATTTTTGAAAATGTTTATTCTCTTGTATGCAGATGACATTGTAATTCTATCTGAATCTAAAGGTTTACAGACAGCTCTAAACATTTTTAATGATAATTGTAAAATCCGGAAGTTAAATGTTAATACACATAAAAATAAGATAAAATTATGATATTTACAAAATGGAAATGTAGGAATCAAGCTCGATTTACATTTTATGATAAACAACTTGAAACTGTTGACTCATGTTCATACTTTGGGTCAGCCCTATAGGTTGATTGTAAACATATAGATGATGGACTTTCACTTCCTAAAGACTAGTAACATGACCTTTGTGCTGGAGACCATCAGTCCTATAGGTTGATTGTAAACATATAGATGATGGACTATCACTTCCTAAAGACTAGCAACATGACCTTTGTGCTGGAGACCATCAGTCCTATAGGTTGATTGTAAACATATAGATGATGGACTATCACTTCCTAAAGACTAGTAACATGACATTTGTGCTGGAGACCATCAGTCCTATAGGTTGATTGTAAACATATAGATGATGGACTATCACTTCCTAAAGACTAGTAACATGACATTTGTGCTGGAGACCATCAGTCCTATAGGTTGATTGTAAACATATAGATGATGGACTAGCACTTCCAAAAGACTAGTAACATGACATTTGTGCTGGAGACCATCAGTCCTATAGGTTGATTGTAAACATATAGATGATGGACTATCACTTCCAAAAGACTAGTAACATGACATTTGTGCTGGAGACCATCAGTCCTATAGGTTGATTGTAAACATATAGATTATGGACTATCACTTCCAAAAGACTAGCAACATGACATTTGTGCTGGAGACCATCAGTCCTATAGGTTGATTGTAAACATATAGATTATGGACTATCACTTCCAAAAGACTAGCAACATGACATTTGTGCTGGAGACCATCAGTCCTATAGGTTGATTGTAAACATATAGATTATGGACTATCACTTCCAAAAGACTAGTAACATGACATTTGTGCTGGAGACCATCAGTCCTATAGGTTGATTGTAAACATATAGATGATGGACTATCACTTCCTAAAGACTAGTAACATGACATTTGTGCTGGAGACCATCAGTCCTATAGGTTGATTGTAAACATATAGATTATGGACTAGCACTTCCAAAAGACTAGTAACATGACATTTGTGCTGGAGACCATCAGTCTTATAGGTTGACCGTAAACATACAGATGATGGACTATCACTTCCAAAAGACTAGTAACATGACATTTGTGCTGGAGACCATCAGTCCTATAGGTTGATTGTAAACATATAGATTATGGACTATCACTTCCAAAAGACTAGCAACATGACATTTGTGCTGGAGACCATCAGTCCTATAGGTTGATTGTAAACATATAGATTATGGACTATCACTTCCAAAAGACTAGCAACATGACATTTGTGCTGGAGACCATCAGTCCTATAGGTTGATTGTAAACATATAGATTATGGACTATCACTTCCAAAAGACTAGTAACATGACATTTGTGCTGGAGACCATCAGTCCTATAGGTTGATTGTAAACATATAGATTATGGACTATCACTTCCAAAAGACTAGTAACATGACATTTGTGCTGGAGACCATCAGTCCTATAGGTTGACCGTAAACATATAGATGATGGACTATCACTTCCTAAAGACTAGCAACATGACCTTTGTGCTGGAGACCATCAGTCCTATAGGTTGATTGTAAACATACAGATGATGGACTAGCACTTCCCAGGGAGTCAACCTTCTGTAAATGATGGCCAATCAGTCCACGATATTGTATTGACATTGAAGTTGGTGGAATGTCGGAGACAAAATATGACTCCAGCTTTGTAAAGATAATATTTTCTGGAACAGTTAAAAACATGTGGAAATGTTTGGTCCATTTAATCCCATTTTTGATGCATTTGTTTGTGCTGATTTCTTAAAATAAATTTTGGTTTGTTTTTCCAATTCATAACTCTTCGTTTTCGGGTAAAATTCCTTTGGTTTTTTCATATATATATCAGGACATGTAAGATATGAAAAAAATATGTACAAATTAGAAGACAATCTAGGAGCGTCTGTCAGTACACACCAGGTAACGATACTCGAGGTTCTTGGAGAGAACTGCGATTTTTCCCACTTCAAAGAAAAGATTTAGAGAGGCTGGACTTGTATTTCGTCTTATTGCAGGAAAAGTATATTTGCAATTGACTTCGTTTTCAATTGAAATCACTAGTCACAAATATCGTAATTAGTGTGCTGTCTGTCCTCACTACCTGGGAAATCGAAACCTTTTTACCAAAACGTAACATATGTATCAGATGATAATCACTGTCGTGTACCCGTTAAGGAATGGTTTTTTCAAGATCACGGACGTAGATGGCCACAGAAGGTAGGTGGTCACTTTAAGCTGCTGTTACTGGCTTGTGGATACAATCTGACCAGGACAAACACCACGCGAAACTCGAAATTTGTATAAGAATGTTATATAAAATAATATCTTTTTTATTTAATCATACTTATTAATCTTTATTGTGAATTTTTCTGATACACACAAATTTGACGAAATCTCTGGCCTATGCTGGTATGATAGTAAAGATACGCGAGCGTAAGGACAGACGCTATCGATAAAGGCGCTAGTGCGCTATAGCCGGAAGCAGTCACTACAACGAGGCCAAATAAGAACAGCGCCAAGGATGATATGAGGAACCCAATAACAGCACCTCTTATAACACACGTTCCTGATATGTTCGGATGTCGCCACCTGACTATGGTTCCGGAACAAAGGGGCGTATATTCGACGTCATCTTCAGGACTCATCACTGCATTGTCTTCACTTGCGACATCGTACGATTGGATGTTCCCTTCAGTAAAATCATTGTCTTCAACAGTTGCTTTTGGTAGTTCAGAGGTTCCACCAGAGTGTCCTCTGCGATAGTACCATGCTATCTGGATACCGTTAATGTAGGCCACCGAGCTAGAGAAATATGTCATCACCACGTACTGCAATGGAATCACTAGACCATAAGTCGCTAGGAAGTCGGTCATCTTTCCGATCGTCGCTATCACAGCTGAGCGCGTTGATTGACCCGAGGTAGAACGCAGCTTCAGATTAAGAACAATCTGAAAAAAGGACTAAAAGTTTATGCATATTGTATAAGTCCACAGTATTCACAATTCTCTTTACACACTATCGGGATAAAATAAATGTTTAGACTAAACAAGAGAATACAAATCCAAACTCCTTATCTGCGTACAAATTTAAGTTAAATCGTCATTCGCTCTCTGTATAGTCTAGTTAGTTAACCGATACATTTATAGACCATTTAAGTAAGCAAAAGTATGAAAATAAAGTTAGAATAATACCTGTGGCAGTGTCTCCACACACCAGAGTGTAATGGCTACCCATTGCATCTCGGCGAACTTGCGTGCTGTCAGCTGCACTGTGATGATAGTTCCCCACATGATTGCACATCCTGCAGCGTAGCAGTATTTAGATTTCGCTGAGAACTCCGTGTTGTACAACCAAAACTGCACAAGAATAGTAAACTCCAGAATGGGCATATACACCGCATTAATAGAGGAGTATATGGGCAGGCTGGCGAAAAGATAAACAAAAAATATATTCACCAGGGAAGCTGTAAAGTTGGCTGTCGCCCACAGGATACTCAACCCCACCACAGACTTCCGGCGGAAATTCTTGTAAACCTGTGGCAGCAGAACAAGAAACCACAGAGTTGTACTCGTTAAGCCACAGACATTTGCTGACACACATGTCCAAAGGCCCCATTCCGGTCGACAGTTGCGTTCCAAACCACTGTCAGAACTGTGTGATTCGTTCGATGCCCCAGTCATGACATTCTCGAAATAAAACCTATGTTTTTATCAGTTCACTGATTGTGGGCGTTCTTAGGATGTTCGTATTTCCGGGAAATCACACATCGCTCCTACTTTCGGTTTGTGTTTTTCATTTATCTTTAATCGGTGACGCTCGGTACACACGTATATACAGACACATGTAAACATGTAGTTAGTGTGTGTAATATAGATTTACCTAACCATAGTCGATTGCTATCAGACAAGAACTTAATACACAGAAACGCAGGCAAGTTTGCATAACAGCCTTCCGGTTAACATTTGTTACTCTAGAATATCGAGGACATTCACCATGGAGATGTGACATATAAGGAATTAACTAATAAGACCCAATAAAAACACAGTCCTAGATCAACGTATGAAGCCTATTGAAGGATAACGGTATATTTTTGGTAAAAAAAAATCATTGGTTTGGAATTTTATCTAATTGCATCCGTCCAATATCTTTTGCTAGAAGAAATTACTATTACGAGCAAAAATATCAATCATTCAAATATTAATCACACGAGGAAAAAGTTTTCCCGGTGAGATTATGATGCCGTTCATAACATTTCCATATAGCAGACACACTACTTCTAATGAATCTAAAAATGGAGCAGTCTAAAGGGAAAATGATATAAATGTACTTCTGGGAACTGATACAATACAGCTTATAGGAAAGCCGTCACTTCTTGTTCCGCTTTCGTTTTAGGAAAAACTTGAGGCGGCTGATCAGAGATTCTTTCGACCTCGATTTCAAATTATTCTAGTAGGTATATACGATGAAAAATGCCAATAAATTTCTTGTTTTTAAAGACAAGACGTCATCAATGTATCTTAAAGTGAAACTGAAGGACCTTCGAATGAAACCAAAAACAAGCCAGCCTAGAGAAAGATACAGTTAGTTCCCATAGGCATGCCTATGTTCTGTTGGAAGATCTTACCACTAAATTCAACTCAACCAGAAATTAATCCTTTCTTCGGTTTATTGCTTGTGTGTTTTATGAATAACTTTACGAAATGCATCGAATATAGTTCACATCCATACACTTGTACTGTCATTCAGAAAGCACTGGGGTGTTCTTTTAGCTTAAAATCAAGTATTCTAATGTTTAAATAGAATTTTTTTTTCGCAGAAGAAATTCTTTTAAAGGAAAGATGTTCAAGACATGTCAAAAGCTCAAATTCTTGATCATTATCTTTTCATTGATTACACTTCCCTGATTGAGAAACATTTGACTAGAAAATTCTTAAGCTTAAGAGGTGGGGCCTCATGGACATACTGTATTTGGTTGTTATTTTCGAGGAATTTCCATTAAATCAATTAAGAATTTCCTAGTTTCTTCTGTTATTTTTTCCTCCAAACCACGAAAATTGGAACCTACAAATCTACATACCTACACATCTGATCTACAAATCTCTACACCTTTACATCTACATACCTACAGCCTACACATTTACATATCTATATACCTACATCTACATACATATTCCTACAGATCTATATACCTACACAGCTACATAACTATACATCCAGATATCCACACATCAACATACCTACACATCTACAAATCTACACACCTTCACATTTACATACCTACATAGCTACACCTTTTCACATCTACATATCTACACATTTACATTTTTACTTATATATATACTGTACATACACATATACATACCTACTCGTCTACACACCTACTTACTCGTCTACACACCTACATACCTACTCGTCTTCACACCTACACATTTACATACCTACACATCTACATACCTACACATCTTCATACCTAATCGTCTACACACCTTCACATCTACATGTCCACTCGTCTACACACCTTCACATCTGACTACCTACATGTTTACATATCTACACATCTGCAAACCTACACATCTTCATACCTACACGTCCACATACATACAAGTCCACATACTTATACACCTACATGCAAATACATCTGCATATTCTACTCGTCTACACACCTTCACATCTAAAGACCTACACGTTTACATACCTACAAATCTACACACATGCAAGTCCACATCCTTATACACCTACATGCATATACGTCTGCATATTCATATATCTACATCCCTACAAGACTACACGCCTATATATGCACATACCTACACATCTATATACATATACATACCTCACATCTACATAACTACACATCAACATAAATACATACATACCTACACATTTACATAAATACACACATACATACCTACACATCTACATAAAGACACACATACATACCTACACATCTACATAAATACACACATACATACCTACACATCTACATAACTACACATCTACGTCTCATTTAGAACTAATCCTAATGTTGAACTTTATATAAATATTTGCTAGGATTAGTTGCAACTCCTCATCTGGTCTTACATCTATTCCACCAATTAAGATTTTCATTCGTGGTTGTATTCTCATCATCACTGACTAACCCTAGAATAATTTAACAGATGTATGACGCAGTTGTAAAGTCATAAAAAGGTTCTACTCATTTGCATGCCTTTCGTAAATCTATGATACATATACCTGATCAAATATCTCGCCTTAAACACTAATCCTCGTTACTGAATAAAGCCAGCCGAGTGAAGATACGCTCGACATAATATCAATAATGGGTCAGATGAAATCTTGGATTCTTATAAGCTAACTTTCTTTTTACGTTTGTAACATACATTTATCGCAGAAATGTAATAAGAATAGTAATATTATGAAAGATTCAGATAAGGTTTGTATATCTAAACGCAGATACTCCAGATAGATCTCTCTGAATGTACACACTTATATCTTGAATACTAGGTATCTGTACACAACATTCCTGATAAGATATTTCCATAATTTAAATTAGTTGGGATATATTTATAATCAGATCAGGATAGATATGTTTCAACGCAAAAAGGTTAGTTTTAATTAAATAGTCGTTAACTATTATATTGTCACAGATCTTATTGGGGATTGGTGTTGCCTATCTGATTAATTTCAAATTAATCAATGTTAGTTTATATAATGGAGCTTTACATCATTTCCTTGGTCCACTGCCCACGACTGATACAACAGCTATACATGTATATTTAACTGCATGTATATGTGTAAGATCAACAAGGTATTCCAAATTTAAGAAAACAATTCTTTTATGCAAAACGTTTCACTTTCGATTTAAGCTTTCTGGAAATATTGCACGCGTTTACGGAAACCTTGCGCGTAAATTCGTCAAACTTACGAAAACCTTGCGCGTAACCTCTTCAAACAAATACATACTGGTATAGAGGATTAAAACTTTGAAAAAAGGTGACTTGACATTAAGGAATAATGGTGTGGATTTGCAGGATGTGTCCAATGGAAGGTCCAGGTACACTGTTGGTAGGGATAGTCCTGTATATCAATCTCATCGGGCGATCGGATGCTGGTAATTACATGCTTAAAACAAAAAACAGTGCTCAAGCTTGATTGCGCTTTGGTGTTGTATTTTCTATCAATGAATAGATCCGAAAACTAAAATTAATGAAGTGAATTCAATTCTATTAAACTAGATTTACAAAGATGTTTCCTTTCAGCCTGTTCAAACGGGAAGCACCTGTTTACAAACTGCACAAACCCATGTCTAGCTGGAGAGGATATGGTTTTCTGTGAGTCCGACCGTACCGCTAGATGTCGACCGGAATACTGCGGAGGATGCATTGCTAGATTCTTCAATGATGCTGGCCAAGAAGTCCGCTGTGAAAAGGGTAAGTACCAAGGATTCAGGACACATGTTTCATTCTAGTTACATGTTGTGATGGCAGAGATGACAACGCGTGTTCGAATACTTTATTGGTAGGGCAATAATCAAATAGGATATGATATTCAAAATTGTTTTCTGTCGACAAAGACATTTTTCATTCTGGATAGGTAATTTAATCGCACTTGACACATGAAGCTTATCGATTTTTGAAATAGATGGAAGTCTGATGGAGCGAATACGGCGGATGCTAAATCAATTCAGGGTTACAATCGTTAATGGCAGACAAAGATCGCCAGGTGTCCTTCATTGTCACAAGTTTCTCATTGCAATATCATCCGTAAGAACGGAATGTATTCATTTCTGTGGAATCCTAACTATACTGGCTATATGCCTCTCTGTAAGTCGCCTCTCAGCCATAACAATATAATGCAATTTATTGACCATTTCTGTGGTTGCAACAGTGACAGGCCTTCCAGGACGGGTGTCATCCCAAAGACTCTGCCTGCCACGCCAACCACCTTTTCACTGTAGCATATGAAGGGGCATCATTCCCTAGTGTTACTACCATATCGGTATTGACACCTTATTATGCAAATAGTCTGGGAATAGCAGAGCTGGAAAAGGACTTCTCTGCTAACTTTTTCAACACTAAGCACACAATCAGCCCTCGTCACATTGTAAACATTAGGCTCGTGCGAAATCAAATGGAACTGATAAACATCGGCAGTAGTTCAACGCGATCATAGAAAATCTGTAATATAATGCTATTTCTAAATAATGCTATATGAATTTAATTTATAAATATTTGATATAAATAGATTTGTACATATCAATATCCTAAATAATAATCAATGTGTACATATGTCAACAGAAGAAATAAAATTTGCGAATTCAAAATGAAGCACCTATAATATTGTTGTGATGTTCGGTTTTACATTAATATAGCTGTTGATCACTCTAGTCACCATTTGATGAGGTTGTTTCTATGAAACCTTTACAGATAGTTATTATAGAATACTTGCAGTAGTAAATGCTCTAGATATTCCGCCCAACCAACTTCAAAGTTTTTTCACATGTTGCGGATATGTATAATTTTCGATGGAAAGATAAAAAATAAAATAAAAAATATATGGGACCACAGAATTCCTTTATTTTTTAATGCAATATGAATTATCGGCATATATCAGGAGGTCCCAGGTAATTCGTAATTCTTTGTTACATATAATAGAGCTTGGGCTTAAACCGAAATATTTTGAGCCAACTAGTACAGAATGACTATATGACTATATTCACTGCTAAGATCCCAGTGATCTAACCTGTTGATATATATATATGAGTAACTTTCGTTTTCTCGTTGTACCATCGATGGAAAAGCAAGGTATCATTAGAACGAAACAAATGCGACAACCCAATTAGTATTACGGACTACAAATATCTACAAATATCTGAAGGTATTTTCCTATAGACATTTTAATAGCTACATGACAATGATGTACTTTGTAAAACGTCACCTTAGTGGGAGAAATTCTAGCCAAATCGGTCATTGAAATGTTAATTTTTGTTCACATTCAGAACATGTAGTTCTGGATCTACAGAAAAATCACATTTATGTCTTTTTTTGTAATTTTTTTTTAATCTGTGGTGATATACGGAACACTAATTACGAAGTTTATATCTGATGTACATCATTGTTCTCCATACAGATATACACATATAGACTTTACATCTTTCACAGTTCAGCGATTTACTGTCATGGGTTCCTCTTTTTCTGTGTTTTTTAAAGGTTTATTCTTGTAGATGAAACGGTTGTAACTGAAGTAAAAATTAACAGTCGATAGTTTTACACTGTATTTACAAAGTACAGTTTGTATGTTGCTGTTACAGAGTATGGCTTCATCTGTGAACTCAAGACACACACAATTGGTTGTCTGCACCAGCCGGGCACCGTTCTTCATGTTTCCTTCGCTAACTACGGTCGGACATCCGCCACCGTGTGTGTCCATCCCTATGGTTTGGAGCGGCTCCATAACACGACGACGTGCAGCTCTCCTCGGTCTCTGAGTGTTATCAGACGAATGTGTGAGGGCCGATCACAGTGTACAATTACCGCCGACAGAGAATTGTTTGGAGAGGATCCTTGCTACGGCATCTACAAGTATCTTGAAGTGGAGGTTGAATGTGTTTCTCCAGGTACGTTTATTGATACGTGAGTGTTCAAGTATAGGTATGATTCGGCAAGATCGATGCAGTATTATAGCGTATGTCCAGAACAAAAGACAGAAAAAAAAACAAAGAAAATACCAATATATCAAATGAATTTTAATTCAAATTCAACTTCAATGAAATTAGAGCAAGATATGGGCAAAGTAAATGATTGACAAAGAGACTCCTGAAAAAGGAGAAAATGACCAGGTGTTCCCGATGGGTAAGAGTCTTACGCTTAATCGAAGACGCCCATCATGTAAATCCAATTCAAGTAAATAAGGTCAGGTTCCAAAATCAGGTGAACAGCAAAGAAACAACAAGGCAAACTAACGACCATCAAACACAACCGACTTCATACTCACAATAACATTTTCCAGTGAAATCATTATGATGACCCTAAAACGTCCCCGTTATCTTCGAAACTACGTGTCTTGAGTTCGTCTGTCAGTTGCCGACACGAAAAGCGTCATATCGAGAAAAATGCCTTGAATATCGAACCAAGTGTTACTTGTTATACTGTTCTTCTGTGAATATCAAAAGGTGTCAATCTACTATGTTTGATAACTTGACATGGTCGGACATTATTCAATCATCCATGTTCTGCCTGATGTAAAAACAACTGTACTGTATCATTGATTCATTACAGGGGTGACATCCATGGCAACGCAACCGTCTACGTCTTTTGGCACTTTGGTGACGTCATTGCTGCCGTTTCTACTCATAAGCATAATGTAATTGCTACCACAGGTGGAATGGACAATTATTGGGCTTCAACACAGTGATCGGCTTTTGAGAGTTTTATCATAGAGTGGTTTTAAGTGAACTTTGCTTTTTTAAAGAATTAACAAACTATAAACTTTGTACATTCGATCCCAGAATGAGTACACCTATATCGGCATTACATTTCAGTGTACAGATACACCTATATCGGCATTACATTTCAGTGTACAGATACACCTATATCGGCATTACATTTCAGTGTACAGATACACCTATATCGGCATTACATTTCAGTGTACAGATACACCTATATCGACATTACATTTCAGTGTACAGATACACTTGTATCGGCATTACATTTCAGTGTACAGATACACCTATATCGGCATTACATTTCAGTGTACAGATACACCGACATTGGCATTACATTTGAGTGTATAGATACACTTATATCGGCATTACATTTCTGTGTACAGGTACACCTATATCGGCATTACATTTCAGTGACAAACCTATCCGTACAGATACACCTAGGCATTCCACGGATATCATTAAAAATACACATAAACTTGAATTCTGCTGATATTTCGTTTAAATAACGTCAGTCATGAGTGCTAAAACAAAAATCAATGTTTAAAAAATAATATCCTGGCCTCGAGTGCCTGTGTGTAAAGAGACACCGTCGTCAACATTCCATTTCAGTGAATAGATAATTTGTAATCATGAAATTCACTTATACTAAGAAGTTCAAAATATCCGCAAAATCAACGGAAATAACATATTCAGGAAAATATTAATTTTACATTATTACAACTAGTGTTGGAGAGGAAAAGTTCATTAGAAAATCTTATCAAGGTGTTGAGTCACTCAGTGTGCATTATGTGTTCATGTACATTCCATGTACCCGCTTGATACCTGTACAATTATGTCACATTGTTGCTAGTGGTAAATATGTAGTACTTTCATACTTACTTCCATGCGTATTTGCATGCATTGTAAAAAAACTAAAGAAAATTTCGTACAAATTTATTACTAATACTTACTTTATTTCGTTTAATGCATAATATTATCATCTTATATAGTACTATTACTCAATGTTTTCAGTAACATAATCAGAGCGAAGATGGTCATTTTCGATTTTTTAATTTCAATTTCAACAAATTTTATATGACAAATGTCAAAAGGAATTGGACATCAGGCATTGTCTATTTAAGTTCTCTCCTTCAGGTGACAACCTGTGGTAAACAAACAAACAAACAAACAAACAGACATATATATATATACAATTTTGTTAAAGAAAGACATAAGGGGAAGTAACTCCTTATTGTAAACAAATTAGATCAGAATTATATGAGGAAGTAACCCAATGTTATGTCTATTGAGTTTGAGCATTTATCAAGATGATCACGTCTGAGATAGTTTCTTATTCTTAATTTTGGTTTGATGAGTTCAAATATTTGTTGAAATTAGTTTTTTTCTCCCAGCAGATAAGGCCACACAAAGTCCATATGCACAACACACTGGCCAACACTGTTTGGATTTAAAACCCAATTTCAGCAACTAGATGTACATAGTTTGTAAGTAAGGTTACAACAAGTGCTATTTATAATATGAAAATTGCTTTTTTAAATAAGAAGGAGTTACTTCATATAGTTACTTAAGTGAAAGTAGCCATCTTAGCTGTCCAGACCAGACTTACATTGTATTTAATTCTAGTATAGGAGGGAAAATGTAAGAGATGATAATTCATAATAAGACATCAGGTATGTGTAGTACTGCTATAGTAATAGTCAACTTAGGGGTTTAATTGATAAATAGGAATTACTAAAGGTACATATAGGATGTTTACAATACCGCATTCAATTAGATAATTATTCATTATGGAAATAAAGTCGTGCATCATTGGAATGATTGTAAATTAGGCATTGAAAAATGGGAATCTTTTAGAATGTGAAATAAAATCTGAAACATTAGATATGATGACTCTATTTTGTATATCATTACAAAGAACACAACCATGTAATAAGACCTTTACACATAAATGATTAATAGTATCATGATGCAAGTTCTGTCGTAAGGTCTGTCGAATATCGGTATTTCTATTGCACTCAAAGAAGAAGTGTAGGGTAGTTTCAGAAGATTGAGTGCACACACACATTGGAGATTCTATTAGATGATCTTTGAAACGGTCATAGTTAAGATTACTAGCGTTATTTCTTAACTGGCACAGTATAATGTTTGTAACATGATTACCTAGAAATCTAAAAGCATACATAAGTCTACATATTGATTCTTGTTCAATAACCTTTTCAACTGAGATGTGGAATCGATATTACTTATATCTGGGGCAAGTCTATTAAACTCATTAAACATGCATTGAAAGAAACTTTCATAATAATTTACTGTGCGAAACAATGGGTGATCAAAAATTATATTTGTACGCAAGGGATATCTGTCTTGGGTTTCATCATGTATATATGGTTGAATTATTTCACTTAAGTAATCTGGAGTTTCATTATTTATTATTTTACACATTAAGATAAGTTTATGTTTATATCTTCTGCTACTCAGAGTTTCCCATGCTAGTTCCCTATATAATTTATCATATGATATCCCTCTACGTAAACCTGTAATCAATGTAGAAGTCTCTAGTTGTATGGATTCCAATATTTGTTTGAGCCAGTGTACAGTTATCCAAAACATCTGCGTATTCAATAATTGGCCTAATGTACGAAGTATACAAGGTAGTAAGAGATTTTCTATCAATTTTGTTTTTCATTAACCTTAAGATACTTACACTTTTAAATGCCTTTTCATAGATATTAGATATGTGTTGATTCCACTTGGCATCATCACTATAAGAGCAAGACCTAGATGTGTATGAAGTTTGTTATCAGTAATAAGTTTATCGTAAAATGTAATAATCGGGTGTTTTTGTCAGTTTTTCGTTTTTTATCTGTGTGTTATCCAAAAAGATAAAGAAAATATCAACATAACAACTAAGTCGTCATTCAAATTCGATGAAACTAATGGATAGAACAACGAAAGACAACTGTAATAAGATCCAGAAGGTTAGGCGGTATCTGTTTCATTGACATCCGCCATACAAAGTATTGATCAACCCAAGAGAATAATGCCAAGTTCCCGAAATACAACAAGGTAATAAATAACAAACAAAAAAACTAGACATATCAATGAGCAACATTCTAGAAAATATCATTGTTCGCTCTAACATGGATCCTGAGAATGAGAATAATTGCTAATTGGAACAATAATGAAATTGAAATGTGAAATATGCAGTGTTGTAAGACCTTTCAGATTACATTACATACACTATAAAACATTCTGACATACATATACTGTACTTGATTTTAAATCCAAATTGAATAATATCCCTAATTATGCATCGTGCGTAAAATGTCATCGATTTTTCTTCTGTACATGTTATTCGAAGAAAAAATGCTGTCTTAGTCGCCAAGATATTTGGAATTAATTTTGTAGGGTTTTTGAAAACCACACTTTCTGCAAATTTTGCCTGAATCTTTCTGTTGAAACATCACTTTGAAAAACAACATGTGTTTATTTTATGTTTAATCCGATAAACTCACTATTTAGCAGGTACTACCACAATAAAACTAGTGTATTTTCTATTAAGAGTTCAATATGTAGAGAGATACGATTAAATAACGACGTATTTTTATTGAAATGAGGGGGCGTAACCATAAGATTAGGAAGTTTATAAATAGTTAGTGTGAAAACGCCCATTTCATGATGATGTTTATTACAAAATCACCTGCTAAGCCAACAAACCTGTACATAAAAAATATAACTTTAGATGTTAAGAAGATATTTTTACTGTTCACGTTGAAGTAGAAATGATTGGGGGTTTGCAGTTTATAAATAGATAGTGTGAAAACGCCCATTTCATGATGATGTTTATTGCAAAATTATACGCTAAGCCGACAAACCTGTACATAAAAAAAAATACAACTTTTAGATGTTAAGAATTGCGGATTATGTCAATTTTACTGTTCACGTTAAAGTACAAATGATGGGGTTTTGCCACACAACATTATTACTTATTATAAGAAATATTTAACTGCAATAGATATGATGCATGTACACAAGTTGGTAAACAATTGGATATCAAAAAACACCAAACAAACACAACTGGCCACAGTTGAAGGTTCATTATTTTTTGTACATTGTAAATGCACCATCGGCCATGTATAGAAATAAAACAAAAAATGATATTTCAAAAAGTAAACATAAATAAAAATTTATACTAAGATTGGAAAACAGCGATATCAGTTCGTCTCTCTAATTCGAAAAGAACTGATTACCTAAAGATCATGACATTCTACCTCTCTACATCAACTGGATGTCACACGACTGGACAATGGGTTCATACTTCCATAGTGACATAAAATTTTAATCGTGATTAAGTGTCGATAGTGCTATTTAAGATCAGATAGGCTATTTAATTTGATAAGGTGGTGCACGTAACTATGTTTGTGTTCATTGTTCACTTTCAATAACATTCGTTGTGTTCCTTAAAGCGCATTGCCATAGCCCTCAAGAAAATTATGACGCCCTTATTTCTAGTAAGAGACTGTAGGAGACGTTTAAGCGTAAGGTAAAACCATCATATTTGAAAGCTCAAGGCAATGTGATGGATCTTTTTTTATAAAAATTTTAGAAAGTAATCTCAAGTAAAATCAAATGCAAATCTTGTTGATTTTTATGATTACTTTAAAACTTTACTGGTGAAAGTGGTAACACTGATGGGAGTTTTGTCTGTAGTGATGAAGTAATAGTTGATAAGCTAGATTATGATATCTCATTTACTGAAATCGAACTGGCAATCAAAAAACTTTAAAAGAGAGTTAGGTCACGGATTGGACCTGTTTCTAAATTAGTTTTATTGAAGCTAAGCAATTGTTTCTTACCCTGTTGCACAAAATGTTTATTGCTGTGTATAGAGTTGGTTATTTCCCTAGAATAATATCTGAGGCTTTAATTGTGACATGATTGACCCCATTAACTATCGAGGATCTAGCCTCAATGTATACTCAAATTATTCACTAGTATCTTTGATACGAGGTTCAGTAAATGAACATGCGAGAACAATATATTATCGAAAGCCCAATCTGATGTCAGTTCAGGCATGGGAACAGTCGACGCAATATTTGCTATTTTTGATAAATTCATTTGTGAATAAGAAAAAAACTGTAATGTTGTTTTGTTGACTATAAAAAAGTTAGTTCGTGGTAAAATTATGTCGGTAGTAAAACCATTGTATAGTCACATCAAATCGTGTGCACTCGTTAGAGGGAAAATATTTCCTTTTTTAAAGTGACTGGGATTTTACAAGGGGAGATAATCTTCCGATCCGGTTTAGCTTATTTGTTAACGATGGTGAATCTTATTTCTTACAGACCGGTTACAGCCAATCGAATTACAAGACATGTCACTATTTTTATTTTTGTACACAGATGACATGGTTTTATTTTCTGAAAGTATACATGGTTTACAGTCAATGCTGGCAAACTTCGTAACTACACTGAAAAGTGGTCTCTAGTCAATGTATCTAAAACCAAAGTTTTGTAGATTATCACAAGATGAAAAATGGCACTTTAATGGTCAGCTGTTTGAAAATGTAGATAGTTTTTGGTACCTTGGCTTGTTGATATACTTAAACGGTAACTTTAACTCATCGCAAAAACAGATTCCAATGTAGGAAAGCAGTATTCTCACTGAAACATATTTGTGTACCTATGTATTGGACTTTCTCCACATTATTAACTCTATTTGACACGTATATAGGAAGTGTTGCTAGTTAGAGCAGAGAAGTTTATGTAGATTCCATACTTCCCCCGACTTAGAGAACATACAATTAGATTTTTGTAAAAAATATTTTTGGAGTTAAACGGTCGGCAACAAATCCTATCTTATACTTTGAACTTGGGAGAGTCCCGTTGTCTCTTTTGCGTAAATTAAGAATATTTAAGTTTTGGTGTAAGTTAACCTTTACCAATAACTGCATTTTAAAAGGAAGTTACGAGTATATGTATAGCGAATGTGAGGCTAACACGAATTATGAAAAAAAGGTTGCGAAAGTCGAACATGAACTAGGCGCATTAGGTGTGATGGATTTATGGGTTTCCCCCCATCATGCCAATATCTTAACATTTGTAAAACAATGTCTGATCGACAATTTCAAGCAGAAATTTCTTATGCTTCGTCTCCTAAATTTGTTATATACAAACACGTTGTAGATCATTTAGCACTGCAAACTTATCTTTCTAACCCTATTCCTATTAATCATATCTTCATATTGTCTTCTTATCAAATCGGACAGACAAAGGAACATTCCAAGCCAACTTCGTATTTACCCCGTATGCTGTAATGATATAGAGGACGGGTAGCATTTTATTCTAAAAAGAGATCTAATTATATCAAGCCTTACTATCGATCGAGTCCTTCTGTCTTTAAATAAGTTGGGTTTTTAATCATCTTCTAACACAAAAATGTTATTTAGGAAAATTGATACATTAGGCAACCTAATTAAGGGATCATTATTTAGTAGAAAATTAATTGAATGAAATGAAAAAAAAAATGTTGTAATTAAGTTTGATACAAATGTTGTATAAATGAACTGTATAAGTTTACGATGAATAAAAAATATAACTGTAATCTACCGTACGCATGTTGTGTAATGAGAATTACAGTCTTCCGGCTTTTCCAAGGCCGGTTTTTTTCGTTTTATTTATTTCACTATTTATTTTTTTCAATATTCAGTTGATTTGTGATCTTTAGAAATCACATGGAGATAAACCGGTCGTTTAATGACACGTTGTCTAAGACTAGCTGAGTACAGTTATCTATACTCTAATGGTGAATATTTTCATCGAGGTTAAAAATTAAGAAAAATTTAAACAGTGTAATTTATTATAAATTTCAAAACTCTCTACGTTGTTAATTAAACAGGACGATAGATTTGTGAGATTGCCTTCTAATAGTGTAGTATGTTGTAAAAATTTGAACTTCGGAATTGATTGTAATACACCTATCAATGGCGTAGCCAATGAATTTTAGGAGTGTATGATTTAAAAGGGGGTCCAGGGCTTTGGGAGGGGGAGGGGCTTGGGGCGAAGAAAAGTAAAAACAAAAGTAAGAAAAATATCTCAACGGAATTGTAGTGTATGCTTCAGCATACTAACATACATCATTGCTACACCACTAAGATAAAACAACTTGGATTTCATTTAACTTCGGAACTATACAAGATGTCATATGATGGTGACTTTTTCGTTTTTTTTTTTTTTGGTTTTTTTATGAAAATGTAACTTCCTCAAAATAGTAACACATAGACATCAACTTGAAGATTTTGTTAAGATTCTTGTTAAATTGTTGACAAACAAGTATTTAGTAATTGGTTTTATTAGTATACAATAAGAAATTGTTGTGACTAAGATAATGGTCGGAGTTCCCGCCGGTTGGGCACATGCTATGTGTATTGTTTGCAGATGCCGAAATCTCGCGAGATACGATGAAGCATGAATGAGATTCGAGTGCACAGCCTGCTGTTGGAGAGATACAACACACAGTTTCAGGGACTACTTCAAAAACTCATCAGACCGGCTGCAGGTATGTCTATATTTTACCATTACCATGGTCAGCTCAAAGTCCTTCCTATAATGTTTGACTTTATTGATTTGTATTTTTGATTGTGGTTTTTTTCTACGACAAGGTCGTCTTAAGTTGGTGAGTAATGTTAAAAGCGTTTATGATCCATCCTTGAGGCTGATCCATCCTCTTGATATCACGCCGTTCCATACCAAGTTTGGGAATTTTCAAAAATGTTTCTAACTTGATGAAATAGAATATTGTATGCTATAACGTTGATAATATATTAATTGTACTGCATTAATTAACCCTAAACACAAACAATAAACAAAGATAGTAATTAATTACGTTTAATTCTTTCTATGATATTATGATACTGTCGATAGATAATTACCTAAACCTGCGCGACATTTTCTTAAACAGAGAAATTGAAAAGGGTGAATTATGAAAATCAAAGTAAACGAAATAAGATAGTCGTGTAGAAGTATAATTAGCATGATTAACCTTAAGATTACAAGGGTAAGTCTTCTTATCTACCGGCATGGTTGATGAGTCAGTAATTCCCCCGTCGGTGCCCCCTTACACGTGCTTGCCATGCTGCCTGCGTCTGTCAGTTATGTATGACTGTGTAAGAGATGCATCCCACTTTGTCAGCAGTACTCTCTATGATTAAAGTGCTACATTTATCCCATCTACGCTACATGTCCTAACTGTCAGCACACAGCTACTACAAGCCCCTCATTTAACTCCTCTATCGTCTACTCCCTCGCATATTTTTTCTTCCGTTTTGCCAAACTCCAGTTCATGCCACACCCGTCTTTTCCAGTAGCATTCTATACCACACCCGTCTTGTCCAACATCATTCTATACCACACCCGTCCTTTCCTACACCAGTCAACACCCCACCAACACCCCACCCGTCCTGTTCAACACCAGTCTACACCACACCAACACCCCAACCGTCCTGTCCAACACTAGTCTATACCACACCCGTCCTTTCCTACACCAGTCAACACCCCACCAACACCCCACCCGTCCTGATGAACACCAGTCTACACCACACCAACACCCCACCCGTCCTGTTCAACACTAGTCTACACCACACCAACACCCCACACGTCCTGTTCAACACTAGTCTATACCACACCCGTCCTTTCCTACACCAGTCAACACCCCACCAACACCCCACCCGTCCTGATGAACACCAGTCTACACCACACCAACACCCCACCCGTCCTGTCCAACACTAGTCTATACCACACCCGTCCTTTCCTACACCAGTCAACACCCCACCAACACCCCACCCGTCCTGATGAACACCACTCTACACCACACCAACACCCCACCCGTCCTGTTCAACACTAGTCTACACCACACCAACACCCCACCCGTCCTGTTCAACACCACTCTACACCACACCAACACCCCACCCGTCCTCCAACACCAGTCTACACCACACCAACACCCCACCCGTCCTGTTCAACACTAGTCTACACCACACCAACACCCCACCCGTCCTGTTCAACACTAGTCTACACCACACCAACACCCCACCCGTCCTGTTCAACACTAGTCTATACCACACCCGTCCTTTCCTACACCAGTCTACACCAACACCCCACCCATCCTGTTCAACATCAGTCTACACCACACCAACACCCCCACTCGTCCCGTTCAACACCAGTCTATGCCACGCCCATCTCGTCCAGCACCAGTCCAGTGGCATCGCGTGAATACCACTTACCTGGTGGTACATAACATATCATCAACAACAACAACAATATCAATCTAACGAGACTATGAAATATTCTCACCATCGATTTAAGATCAATCCTGTATTGAAAAGACATTGTGATGCCGCTTTTGAAATTGAACATATTTCTTTTCTTTTTTCTTTCACTCCATTACATCTAAGTTACTGATTCTCGTCGTCACTCTTAATTTCTTTTATTCAAACTGTTTTAATAATCACTCATCAAAACTCCGAGATCAAGTAGACGCAGTTTGATTTCGTCCTATTTTCCTTCGTGGGTAATTACGTCTCCCCAGTGTTTACGTGTTTGTTGATAATCGTCATTTGCTAAGATGCTGTATACTATACAGTGTATGTGTGCACCCTACCACTATTAGTGCCGTTGTGTATGTGCGCTAATGCCTCTCTACTATCGGGGGAGATTATAACGGTGATCTGTCAAGAGTCCTATCAAAGGCTGGGACTGACATTACAACTATCCTTACATCATACTCTGGGCATGGGTACGTCTATTGTTACTGTGTATGAACAAGTACTTGTCTACTATAACAACGACCCTAGAGTCAGACATTAAAAGCCTGATACAGGCAATCCCTCGTTGGGAGTTAATATAACCGTCGCTAAAGACACTATGTTAATATAACTCACTAAAGACACTCTGTTAATATAACTCGCTAAAGACACTATGTTAATATAACTCACTCAGTGTTTACGTGTTTGTTGATAATCGTCATTTGCTAAGATGCTGTATACTATACAGTGTATGTGTGCACCCTATCATATTAGTGCCGTTGTGTATGTAAATATATGCCTCTCTACTATCGGGGGAGATTATTATGTTAATATAAGGCTCACTGACAAGACACTATCCTTACATCATACTCTGGGCAAAGACACTATTGTTATATATGAACAAGTACTTGTCTACTATAATAACTCCCTAAAGACATTAAAACTTATATGTTAATATAACCGTCGCTAAAGAGCACTCTGATAATATAACTCATTGAAGACACTGTGTTAATATAACTCATAAAGTCACTATGTTAATATAACCGTCGCTAAAGACAATATGTTAATATAACCGTCACAAAAGACACTATGTTATTATAGTTCACTGAAGACACTATGTTAATATAACTCATTGAAGACACTATGTTAATATAGCTCACTAAAGACACTATGTTAATATAACCGTCACAAAAGACACTATGTTAATATAACTCACTAAAGACACTATGTTAATATAACTCACTCAAGACACTCTGTTAATATAACTCGCTAAAGACACTATGTTAATATAACTCACTCAAGACACTATGTAAATATAACCGTCGCTAAAGACACTATGTTAATATAACTCACTAAAGACACTCTGTTAATATAACTCACTAAAGACACTATGTTAATATAACTCACAAAAGACACTATGTTAATATAACTCACTGAAGACACTATGTTAATATAACTCATTGAAGACACTATGTTAATATAACTCACTAAAGACACTATGTTAATATAACCGTCACAAAAGACACTATGTTAATATAACCGTCACAAAAGACACTATGTTAATATAACTCATTGAAGACACTATGTTAATATAACTCACTAAATACACTCTGTTAATATAACTCACTAAAGACACTATTAATTTGTCATTTATTCAGAGTATCGGGGTAAATACTTTTTCCTGTCATAGTTTACACTAGGTTCATTTACTATAATAAGGAACTAAACTTCTGTTGGTCTTTTCCAGTAATAGAATCCTGTTTTTGTTGTAGGAACAGTATGCAGCTACTCTAATAACCTCGCCAACAGACCCGTCAACAATAGTATGCACCGACCCCTTAAACTAAAGATCCAGAATGCTCTTAACCAAGTGATAATAGGCGATGCCGAGTCTCGTGGTCTCTTTGTAGGAGGACGACGAAGAAATCGAAAGAAGAGGAGGACAAGAAATGGTAAGAGGTCAATCGGTATTCTGTCCTTTAAATGAACGGCGTTTGATGCTCAGCTGGAATCTAAATGTGTTTAAGTGCAACATTTTTTGATGTCTTTACTCTAATAACAATGCTAATATTCCTTGATGTCCACCTCTACCGCCACGTCTCTCCCGTTCCGTCACTTCACGTCATGTCACGTCTCTCTCGCCCCGTCACTTCACGTCACTTCACGCCTTTTCCGTTCCATCACTTTACGTCACATCACGTCTCTCCGTCCCGTCACTTCATGTCACATCTCTCCCGTCCCATCACTTCACTTCACGTCACGTTTGTCCGTCCCGTCCCATCACTTCACGTCATATCACGTCTCTCCGTCTCGCCACTTCACGTCACATCTCTCCCGTCCCATCACTTCACGTCACGTCTCTCCGTTCCGCCACTTCACGTCACATCTCTCCCGTCCCATCACTTCACTTCACGTCACGTTTGTCCGTCCCGTCCCATCACTTCACGTCACGTCTCTTCGTCTCGCCACTTCACGTCACATCTCTCCCGTCCCATCACTTCACTTCACGTCACGTTTGTCCGTCCCGTCCCATCACTTCACGTCATATCACGTCTCTCCGTCTCGCCACTTCACGTCACATCTCTCCTGTCCCATCACTTCACGTCACGTCTCTCCGTTCCGCCACTTCACGTCCAGGCTTTTCTAATCCCGTCACTTCACGTCATATCACGTCTCTCCGTCCCGTCCCATCACTTCACGTCACGTCACGTTTGTCCGTCCCGTCCCGTCCCGCCACGTCACATCCTGTGAAAAAGATTCATCAACAATATAACATGCAGTGATTGACGGCTACCGTTTGTATCGTGGTAATCAAACTGATATGTTTCAGTCACGTATGGTGTGATTTAATCAGTTTAGTCTCGTTTTAAAGAACAGTAGAAAGTGCGCCTAGTTATGTGCTTTGTACTAGACTGGTACATCATGGACACGATACATATTTCTACGGCAGAATTCTTCAAAGTTAAGGAGTAATAGAGTTACCTCCCTTCCACCTTTTTTTAGTTTACAACGGACGGGTAATTATCAACAAATACCCCAATTACAGTTAATATCAAGGTCTAGTGCCATTTATTTATTTAGAACAGACATAGTACAAGATCCATCGATCATTGAAGATAAATTTGTTACAAGTGATATATTATTTTATCATCTACAATATGTGTATTCCATCTTTATAAAGTGTGGTGATCGGCGAGTATCATGTATGATGTAAAACAAATCATATGTACGGATTACTCATAAAAAACTGAGAGCAATATAACCTACACTTCTTCTATTTACATGTTTTTAGATGTTTTGATGATACATATCATTAGGAAGGCGTCAAATTAAACCTAAAAATTCCAGGATTGTAAATAACTCAATTTGGTGAATTTTAGACATTACCTGTCAATCAAATTTACATGTATCTTTATTGTGTATTTTCAAATGCATTCTAAGTATATTTACTTTGAGATCAGTAAGGAGTTAGGAACTCAAGTTGTACGGACAACCTCATATTTAAATATTTTACAACGTGTTTGATATCATTACCATGGAGACCTACCAACCAGCGAAACGATGTCGCTTAGATTTTCCAAACAGTGTCCAACGTATCATTTGTCATCTCAAGAAGGACTCGCCAAAGAGACCCGCTCCTATATCAGAAAGGAGAATGACCTCGGTCCTTTTGTTATCAAACACCACAGTATGAAACTAGATACCATACTTGACATATATGACTCGGACATTGGAAAGGGCGGCCCAAACGCTTCACGGATCGACATCACATTGAGGGAATGTATATATCGAGAAAAGCCCAACAGTAATGTAATGACAAGGGGCTCATTGGGATGGAACCAACTCAAAGGACGACACCTATAACATTGATGAGACAGGACCATTCCACGGTCTCAGAACGAAAGACACTCTCATGACTCGAGTCTTTAGGGAAACCAAAAACACTAATGACGATATAAAATTTGCCCAAACCACCAGTTGATACAGGTCAAAGACACCATTCTGTTCTCACAGAGGTACAACACTCCTTCGGAAAGATCTCCTACCCTATCAGCTACGTCAGACATCAGAAGATTTAATTTAATGAAGTAATAGAATTGTCAGACACGGGTGGTAACCACTTGTCAGCACTCTTCTTGTGTGATGATAGTGGTAATGTTAGAGGACTATTTATGAACCACATGTCAGGAAGGATACAAACATGTCTACCTGACATAAATGCTTTTAATTTCAACAATTTTGAACCCCCTTTTTTTTTTTTTTTTTTTGCTAAATATACTGTCTACTGGTTAAAGTATAGTGTGCAATTATATCAAAATTCGATAAAACATCAGAATCATTCGGACTTGTTGAACAAAAATAACAAAATGTGTTTCACTTACATCTTCCTGATGTATATAAAATGTTTCACTGAAGTTAAGTCACCACATTTTGATGTAATGTAGGATTAAGATCCATTGTTAATGCCGATATATCATTGCAGAAGTTGTTATGTAAATAAGAAAGGACGTATTTTGTGCTCTCTGTCTCCCTCTCTCCCTCCCTACCCCCCCCTCTCTCTCTCTCTCTCTCTCTCTCTCTCTGTGTGTGTGTGTGTGTGTGTGTGTGTGTGTCTCTCTCTCTCTCTCTGTCTGTGTGTGTCTCTCTCTGTCTCTCTCTCCCTCTCTCTGTCTCTGTCTCTGTCTGTCTGTCTCACTCGCTCCCTCCCTACCACCCCCCCCTCTCTCTCTCTCTCTCTCTCTGTCTCTGTCTCTCTGTGTGTGTGTCTCTCTCTCTCTCTCTCTGTCTGTGTGTCTCTCTCTGTCTCTCTCTCCCTCTGTCTCTTTGTCTCTGTCTCTGTCTCTCTCTGTCTCTCTCTCCCTCTCTCTGTCTCTGTCTGTCTGTCTCTCTCTCTCTCCCTCTCTCTGTCTCTGTCTCTCTCTCCCTCTCTCTGTCTCTTTGTCTCTGTCTCTGTCTGTCTGTTTGTCTCTTTCTCTCCCTCTCTCTCTGAATGTGTAAAATCTTGTCGAAAATATGATCGAATGGCCAGATATTGGGCGAATAGTTTGTAAACAGGGAATTAAATGTACTTAATCAGCATGTTTTTTAGCAACATATGTTTCATATTATTGATATATATTTTCCCTCTTTCAATTAAGACTCTTAAATTGAATTTTTTGTATTTTGACATGAAAAGGCTTTTGTCGGTCAACGTTAATTTCAGTAAAATAATCCTGTCGTTTATGGCTGTAAAATATGGATTTCATGAGTCCTATTGTGTAATTTTTTAGTGGTTTTAGACACCGTACAGAAATCAGCATACGAGAACATATCTGATTTATCATTTCTTTTTAGAATGTCATTAATCTTCTACAGATCAAATAGATATGTACTGAAGTCCATAACTGTTGGAGATCTATGTCAGATTACCGATTTGTAAATCAAATACATATTGCTTATATATATTTTTTATTGGCATAGTATATGGATGTAACAGTGTACTACCAAGGTTCAGTAGAAAAAACGGGAGAATTTAATGGCCAAGATCTTCATAATAAAAACGCATCTCCCTCTAAACTGAATCTTGTTTACAAGATTTATTCTAAATGTCATTTTTTTACTTATGCAATATACATGTTAGATGTAATGTAAAAAATATTTATTGATAAAAAATAATTCATAAATGTCTAATTAGTTTAACTGTTATAACGAGATATTTAGAGAAGTGATCTAGCCTATATGTCCCGCACGTGTTTGTGTCTTTTCAGTTAAAGAGAAAAAGAAGGCGAGGAAGAGTGACGGGAAAGGTTCCCCGGTGATAGTGAGATACAACAATAATGGTAAGACCCATCACTTGAACCACGCACTAAAAAGATACCAATTTCTCCGGATAAGCAACAACATTGGTACATTCCTTTTTGAACAGGGTGTCTAATCGCAGGCCTGTTCCATCTGTCTGGGCAACATTTTTTGTCTGCATGTATCCTACAACCTCGTAAAGGTCAGTTGGCTGAGTTTTACAATTCACTTCCACCCATACTCCTAGACATGTAATACTTTATTTGTATGTGCATAACCCACCTCACGCTGATTGTGTAGTTACAGGGTGTTTTTGTCTCTGTGACTCTTATCAAATAGGCGGTGTCTCACCGACGAACGTCAGTGTTCGGGCTACGTTAGTAGGGATGGGGGGGGGGGCGACATGTATCCCCCGCCTCCTCCGACGGCTACGACATTAAAGTCTGGTAGATCACTAACGTCAAAATTGTTAATTGTTGTTAGTGATAACATCTGTTTAGCGATATATCCAATTGTTTTATAAAATCTATACCTTCCTAAATGGTCGTGTATCTCTGTTATGTCTTTGTTACAGCTATATAGTAGTAAGATAGATGTAAATGACGTATCAAATGTGTCTAGGTGACCGCTATCACAGGATCCCGTCTTTCTTTTGAAGGTCACACTTACTTCCGGATTAGTGGTGTAATTTGTCACATTTCTCACTAAAACATAGGTCTAGAGATATATACAGATGAATACTCGCATGAGTGAATATACATTTGAACATATATCTACTTCCGCGTAATAAGTTTACGTAGTTAAACAAAGATTACTTGGTTGCCGACCATATGAAATATTTTACGGGTCATTGGACTTTTTACAAGTGCATTAAAGGTTCCAGATAAATGGCAGAATGGATTTTCTAGACCTACCAACGACTAACAGAAAAGGCATGGACTTGTAACAGTGTTTCCAGGGTATGGAGCTTGAGTAGTATATAATTAGTACTTAATACAAGCCCTCTCTGCCCTAAAATATTGTTATATGCCCCTATGGACGGAACGGTACCACATTATAAAACAGTTCTTAAAACTGTTGTTTAAGGTATAGAACTGGTGCTACGTGGTTGTATAACGCTATCTATATCGTGACAAATGCAAGATATCGACTGTGTTGCAAAATACATCGCAGTTTTTGCTTTACTTATATAAGGTGTATAGAGTTTCATAGAAATTTACATACAATGTATATATACTATTGATCGCTTTGCCGTCTGTGGATGCAAATTAATAATTATTTGCAGTTCGCAGCTGTTTCGTCCAGGTTAGCTGTCTATCTAACACCTACATTTACAAAGATAGACTAATTAAATGGGACACTTTTAAATTGCCGTTTGTGGTGGTATTCCAGTGGAATCTAAAGTGATTCTCTAGGTAATATTTAAGTGTTTCATTGGTGGAGGATTTACCGCAAGGATGTGAAAATTTCAGCTTTAGTTGGGTTTTTTTTCTCCTTTTTTTTGAGTTTCAGCATCTGTTGGCGAACGAACGTCCATACACCACTCGACATGGCGGTCGTTACTTATATGTACGACTACGATCGTGTAATATAGTATACTCATGTACAATAAGTGAATGATTTTCTCTTTAAAAATTGTGTGTAAAAAGTGTTCGATAAAAATACTTTAATAACACAATATCACACAATATCGTGTCAACAAATTCTCAACATTGAAGACGAACAAACCAGATCTGTGATTAAAAAAAGTTCTCTCAGTGGCTTCCAAGGGACGGATTAGTAAGTTTTTATACAATAGTACGATAGTAAATTACAGAGAGGAATTATGTTCAACGACTTAATATATTTAGCCTACCATCCTCAGACGGTAGAATTTTCAAATTCCCTTTTCGTCCGTGGTCCGGTCCTCACGAAAAACTATAATGATATCACCTGTTTCTGAAGAACAACTGAAAAAAAATCATTGAAAATGTTTGAAGTTTAATTTATATTCAAGATGGCTACTGATTGCTATTTTAACATTATTGTTGATATTTAAAGTTTTACATCTGTTTCCGATGACCTGCAGAAAGGATCTATTTTAAATCTTACATACTTGTTCAGTAGAGGTCCTATTTGTGCATACCATCAAGATAGCTGCTGACCGTTATTTCGAATTATATTATCTGTAGATTGTTAACAATATGTTTCAGGAACTACAGAAAGGGTTTTAAATGCATGTATAACGCTGATATTTCTCTATTTTATTCTTCTGTTTACCGACCTATATAAATTAATGCCTTCTGATTATATAAATATCAAAGAAACAACAGAAAAAGTACAGATAAAATTGAAGTACTGTAAAATCAAAACTCGGTATTGATGCCTCCTACTGTTACGTTCCGACAACATGTAAGTTGTGTTCTATTCCTACCGTGGGTTCACATGATTGATGTGTCATAGATGAAATATATCCAGCAGATGTTCACACGAACCACCTGTTGTTGCTATACTACCCCGGTGTATTATCTACATTATTGAAGCTGAAACTTGGTCAATGTAGTCATTGTTTTTATTGGTGTTTTTTTTTTATTTTTTTTTTCAGAAAAGAAAAAATGGATATTTCATGAATACATATCTGATTGTTTTCTTCGTACGTGTGTGTGTGTGTGTGTGTTTGTGTTTGTGTGTGAGTGTGTGAGTGTGCGTATGCGTGTATGATTTAGTGTATTTTACGTTTAACGACCAGTTTCGTAGTCTGGTTATATTTTTACAAATTTGTATACATGTATATGCAAAGTATATCTAAGCAGTCATGCATCTATCGTTGCCCACAAGGCAACTGTTATGCATCTATTGTTGCCCACAAGGCAACTGTTATGCATCTATTGTTGCCCACAAGGCAACTGTTATGTATCTATTGTTGTCCACAAAGCAACTGTTATGCATCTATTGTTGCCGACAAAGCAACTGTTATGCATCTATTGTTGTCCACAAGACAACTGTTATGCATCTATTGTTGTCCACAAGACAACTGTTATGTATCTATTGTTGCCCACAAGGCAAATGTTATGTATCTATTGTTGCCCACAAAGCAACTGTTATGTATCTATTGTTGACCGCAGGTCATGTTGATGTGCATAATGCATTAATTGTTCTCCACGGGACGCACTGTTTTGTAAACGTGGTCGAGTAAATGATATACTTATTTTGAAATGGTTGATGAGATGTATATATATATATATATATATATATATATATATATATATATAAATTCTTATTGATATATGTTGTCGTGTATATATACAGTTGTCAGAATAACACCCGTATGTTGTTGCCAGTTTATTATTTCCGTATCACAGTTATGTATTTTGCCTACAGAACAAACTGTTGTCCCGGCTGACGAGCGGCCTCTCATTGAATCGGACTTCGACTCCACACTGTCACTCACTGTCACTGACGACTTGCACTACGTGGATGACTTACCTCCCCTTATCGACACCGAAGATCAGGAACATTTAGACCCAGAGGAGGAGGTAAACTCTTCAACAAAGAATAATCAAATTTAGATTTTAAAAACTCGTCAAGCATCAAAACACACTAGACCGTATTAGAACTCCAAAATAGTACACACAATTGCTGAACTCTACTTAAAGAAACACATATAGAAAGGGAAATTAAGGCACGAGAACCCCGCACAAGTGGTGAAATCTTTGTATTCAGCAAGGGAAAGCATTTCTGCCTACTACATCAGCTGACAAATACAAGGAAGAAACTACTCCATCAGAGATCGTCCATTTCTGTACGGCACCTGTATATAATTTAGTATTGGAAGGAATGAAATAAAGAAAAAATCTGCCACTTATAACATTGTCAGTGCACGAACTCAAAAGTGATCTATGTAATTGTATAGAAATGGTTGGCTGTGGAGGATATTAAGTTACATGAATCACACTATTTAGGAAATATTTTGCAATTATTTAATTAAAAGATAATTGATTTATTATCTATTTTTCCAGATGCCTTTCGGATTTTTGAAGCGAAAGAATAAAGCAAATTCTGATAAGGATGTCATTTTGGAAGAGGAGGTAAAGATGGTGGCTGGGTCGCCAGTCACAGAACAAGAGGTGGCCAATACTGAACAACTTCCGGAAGTTGAGGAGATAGATTCTCAACAAATCAAAGAAAATCAAGACACCGAAAATAACAAAGCTCCCGAGGATTCCCAAAGTTACCAGGATTATGAAGATAAACCGGAAGCAGAAGCCAAAAGTAACGAGAATTCCGTAGATGAACCGGAAGCAGAAGATGCAACTGTTACTATGACTCCGCAAGAGGAGCCCGCTGTTCTTGAGACAGAATGCAAGGCTAGCCTTCCGGAGTCGCAAGTGGAGACCACTGATGAAGTGGTGCCAGCAGTTGTTGAAGTGGACCCTGTAGAAGAGGTGAAACAAAAGGAGATGACTCCGCAACTGGAGGTAGATGACAGTCAGGACGGGATACAGAGCGAGGAAACAGTCATTCATGAACAAATTGGGAAAGAGGTAAAAAGAGGCTGTCGTGTTTATGTCGAATAGATGGTAGTTTTTTTATGACGTATTTCAAATAAATTTAATATATTTTATAATTAAGCATGTATATTTCCATTGCAAATATTTAAATATTATGATCTAATTTCATCATAATAACAAGTCATCACTCGATCGGTAGAATATAAATATTGATAAATTATTATTATCATTTTTATCAGGTGCGAGACGACCAGCCCAGGCCAGTCAATGGCACATCGATCGAGGAGTCGTCTCCCCTTATTAAGAAGCAAGAACCGGAAGTGGACATGAATTTCATGTGCTGTGTTATTCTGTAACCGAGTCAATATATCGGGCAATACCTATTGCCTGACAAAACGAAATCTAAAAAAAATATATAAGTTTTGCCTTTAGTGAAACGTTAGACATCTATGTGCCTTAATATGTTTGGCTGTGATTATTCATGTAACAATGAACGCCCCTTAACCTATTGTTAAACAACATGTGGTTCTGTTATTGTCAATAAAGTACGTGTAGTTAATTTCAGAAGAAATAATAATTAATCCAGATATATGCAATAAATGATTGAAGCTGGCAGCTGATGTAGCTGAAATGGTAATGAAGCTGAGGTATTGATTAAGAACCACAAGTCGTTGAGATGATAGTTTTTATTTTTATGCGCATTTTAACTCTATGTTAATGGTGCTCATTCCTGTCTTTCCTATTTATATACCCTTTGCAAGTTGTTTTCGTTTATTTTATGTATCCTTATCAGTTGTTGTTATGTAAAAAATATAGTTTCCATAATCCTCTTATAATATGTAAATATACAAAAATTATTCTATATACACTGTGTATCTTAGGCCAGTGCGATAGGACTGTAATATCATTGGGATAGTGCTTTTATTAGTAATAGTTTATCAGCGGATAATTCAGATCAGGATTTATAGTATCAATTAAAGTGTATTATACCGTACATTGTAATTATATAGTATCAATTAAAGTGTATTATCGTACATAATGTAATTATATAGTATCAATCACAGTGTACTCTATCGTACATTGTAATTATACAGTATCAATCACAGTGTACTCTATCGTACATTGTAATTATACAGTATCAATCACAGTGTACTCTATCGTATAATGTAATTATATAGTATCAATCACAGTGTACTCTATCGTACATTGTAATTATACAGTATCAATCACAGTGTACTCTAGTGTACTCTATCGTACATTGTAATTATATAGTACCAATCACGGTGTACTCTATCGTACAATGTAATTATACAGTATTAATCACCGTGTATTCTATCGTACATTGTAATTATATAGTATCAATCACAGTGTATTATATCGTACATTGTAATTATACAGTAGCAATCGCAGTGTACTCTATCGTACATTGTAATTATACAGTATCAATCACAGTGTATCATATCGTACATTATAATTGTACAGTATCAATCACAGTGTATCATTTCGTACATTGTAATTATATAGTACCAATCACGGTGTATTCTATCGTATATTGTAATTATACAGTATCAATTAAAGTGTATTATACCGTACAATGTAATTACACGGTATTAATCACAGTATACTCTACCGTACATTGTAATTATACGGTATTAATCACAGTGTATTCTATCGTACATTGTAATTATATAATACCAATCACGGTGTATTCTATCGTATATTGTAATTATACAGTAGTAATCGCAGTGTATTCTATCGTACATTATAATTATATAATACCAATCACGGTGTATTCTATCGTATAGTATCAATCACAGTGTATTCTATCGTACATTGTAATTATACAGTATCAATCACAGTGTATTCTATCGTACATTGTAATTATACAGTATCAATCACAGTGTATTCTATCGTACAATGTAATTATACAATATCAATCACAGTGTACTCTATCGTACATTGTAATTATACAATATCAATCACAGTGTACTCTATCGTACATTGTAATTATACAGTATCAATCACGGTGTATTCTATCGTACATTGTAATTGTACAGTATCAATCACGGTGTATTCTATCGTACATTGTAATTATACAGTATCAATCACAGTGTATTCTATACATTGGTAATTTCCATTTGGTGTGTTGTTGACTTCGGAAAATGACAATAGCACTGCTCAATTAATTGTCAGAAGTCTTTGCGCCACAAATGTGTTTCAAATCGCTTTCTGCATTAGAAAATAAAACGTATAAAAAGAATCGACGTCACGAGCAATCGCTTACAGTCGACATCTTCAGACGTTATTATTAAAAAACTGTCAACGAAGTATTGTATAACACAAATTTGGAATTCAAATTATGGATCGTGTTGTATTACGTTCTTAGTGGAAATCATTCAAATGTCTGGTACATAACGAGATGGATTATTTATCTCCCATATCCAAGTTTTTATCCCCCTCCCCCTCTATTTGTTAATAATAATATATTACGCAAACACAATAGTATCTCTGAGCTGTTTTCCTAAACTGGTTGACCCTTTGTGTCTACAACCACTCGCGTAAAATGAAATGTGCTATTCCTTTATGACGTCATATGTTTTATCTTGCTTGAATCGCAATAAAGGTATTTACAAAATTATGGATAAACTTTGTTATATGTTACAATCACTAAAGCGATGTATGGTCATATAGGAGTATTTCTGGGGGTAATTTCCGGCACTTTTCATCCACAATGTTATCAATTTGATGAGAAGAATGCATAAACTGTCGACAGTTGTTAAAATTGTTACGTAGTTTTGGAGTGGGTAGACATTGGCACTAACGTGTTGGAGTGGGTACACCTTGACACCAGCCGTGTTGGAGTGGGTACACCTTGATTCCAGCCGTGTTGGAGTGGATACACCTTGACACCAGCCGTGTTGGAGTGGATACACCTTGACGCCAGCCGTGTTGGAGTGGATACACCTTGACTCCAGCCGTGTTGGAGTGGATACACCTTGACACCAGCCGTGTTGGAGTGGATACACCTTGACATCAGCCGTGTTGGAGTGGATACACCTTGACACCAGCCGTGTTGGAGTGGGTACACCTTGAAACCAGCCGTGTTGGAGTGGGTACACCTTGACACCAGCCGTGTTGGAGTGGGTACACCTTAACAACAGCCGTGTTGGAGTGGGTACACCTTGATACCAGCCGTGTTGGAGTGTGTACACCTTGAAACCAGCCGTGTTGGAGTGGGTACACCTTGACACCAGCCGTGTTGGAGTGGGTACACCTTGACACCAGCCGTGTTGGAGTGGGTACACCTTGACACCAGCCGTGTTGGAGTGTGTACACCTTGACACCAGCCGTGTTGGAGTGTGTACACCTTAACACCAGCCGTGTTGGAGTGGGTACACCTTAACACCAGCCGTGTTGGAGTGGGTACACCTTGACACCAGCCGTGTTGGAGTGGGTACACCTTGACACTAACTCTTTTAGTGAAGTTTTTTCAGTCCCATAATCAGAAAGAGCACAACTATTAGGACCAAAGGAAACCTAAATTCAAAGTAGAAAGATACCTCCCTTACTTCTGAAAAGGTAGATATAACAATTTTTCATTGACACAATCCAAGATGGGCGGTTGGCAGTCGTTTTTGAAAGTCCCAAATCAGATACCATTTTAATGTAAGAGGGCTAAACTTTTCAGTCACATGAAATTTGAAAAAAAAAGATCTACCTTGTATCCATTCAGTACTTCTCAAGAAATAGCAATGATATACTTTCATTGTCAAAATCTAAGATGGCCGCTTGTTAGTCATTTTGTTTTCCTGGTCATTTCTATAATATAAAGAGCACGACTGTGGACCAAGGGCAAACTTCAGATTAAATGTTAATAAAATGAGAGCAGTGCTTACGTTACGTACGATTAATGAAAAGGATACGCATATTTATCAGAAAACTAAAAAATGATTTTATAAAACAAATGAGATAAAGAAGATAGTTACTTACAAAAAAAACATATTTTACACCAGAATATGCCAAATGTGACTATGAAACGCACCTGCTCTCTGGCTTTTTTAGCTACTCGACGGTTTGAAATATTGAATAATGGATGTTTTTCCTTGATTAAACAATATTTTATAGGTCAAAAATGAGAAAAAGATAATAGAAGTGTTGATATATACTACGTATTCAATTGTCAGAATGAAGCACGAATAGATCTGTTGGGTTCTACTTCAACATATTATTTTTCCTTTGACTATACCGTTTACGATATGACTGAATATCCTGCTCTTGATAGAATCAGACCTCTGACGCTTTTAAAGCACTTGATTTAAACATGATATTCGCCGTGAGAATGACAAAAAACACGCACAAAAAAAAAACTAAAAACAAAAACACACACACACACAGAAAAGAAACAAGTACTGTCACACCCTATATAAATCTCTCTCACTTCACTTTCAGCAGTCACGTAACGATCCTATGTCGTACATAACATATAATATTGTACACGGGTAGATATGATCAAACAGGATTTTTTTTAGCAGGCATTAATTATACTAGAAAATACTACACTCATCTGCGGATTAATGAACTGAAGAAAACAATATACATGTACCAGGAAAGCTTCTTTTGATAAACGTTGAAAAAGCTTTTGATTCTGTTTCATGGGAAGATATAGATAAAATATATTTTTTTTATTTCGAGATAGAATCAGAAAATGGCTGAAAACGTTTCACTATAATGTTACTTCGACAGCTACTCCACGTGGTAATCTTAAAACATTTTTTCAAGGTCAAACGTGGCTGTCGCCAAGGTGACCCCATCGCACCAAATATCTTTATACATTTTACTGAAATATTAGCAATAAGAATAAGAAAAACAATATAGCAGGGAAGTGAGAACTTGCATTAAAGACTTAAACTAAACTTTGATGAAAATGATTAAGCTGAAGTCACTAATAATCATATAGGCAAGTTATCTATTATTCCTGTTAAATTCACAACTAATTCACTTCCCTCCCAAATTCTGGTATCGTTTTTATTAATCTGTTAAATACGACTCTCTTTAACTTTCTATGGAACGGCAAAATAGATAAAGAGAAAAGGAAGGTCATAATTAAACATTAATTTGAAGGTAGTTTGAAGATGATAAACGTTCCGGCGTTTATTGATGCACTTAAACTAGGGTGACTGAAAAAAATTCTCCAGAGTAAGTGTACCAGTCCTACAGATCATAGTGTAAATTGTGGAAATGACTATTAAAGCGTGTGTCAAGAGTAGTAACAAGTTTTGGTGTGATGTTGATGTGATGTATTTAGAGCATGGGAAAGGCTATTGAATTCTAATTTGAATTCAAAACATAAACAACTCTTTAAACACAATTATATGGTACAACCTACAGTAGACTTTAGATGGTTGGTACAACCTACAGTAGACTATAGACGGTTGGTACAACCTACAGCGGAATAAAGGCGAACGGTACAAGACCTGTCATCGGAACAAGGACGTAATGCGTTGTACATACATTTTTTTTATAGAATTTTGAGAGTAGAAATTGAATTAGTTATCAAAAGAGAATAATAATGAAGATATACAAATTGATGTTGTTGGCGATATGAATGCTGGAATACGAGATCAAGATTTCGTCACAGAAGATGACACACAGTTTATTTATCTCGAACATGATAGAGCTTTTTTAAACACAACTCAGATATTCGGGAATACAGCAATCAACCACTTAATGAAGTCGCTACTATCATTGTGTCGTTCCTTTGGTATCCAAAACCGTAGAAAAAAAAAGATGGGTTGACCAGATTGATTCAAAGTTGCGGAACCTACATGTACTCGGGCAAGTATTTTGTCTTTACCGTTCAAAATAACTAGTTATCAAAACCACAGTAGTTTCAACATAACATTTTCACAATATTTTGACAATAAATTCAATCCTTTATAAAGTAAATATCGGCCCATTTGTTTATTCTGTAAATCACAGACGGAAACTATTCTTTGGAAATGATGATGATGATGATGATGATGATGATGATGATGATGATGATGATGATGATGATGATGATGATTAATGCGAAATTGTGAGTTGTCATAGGCTTATTACTGTGGTTATGTGCTGTTTTGAAAAAACTTGAAAAATAAAAAAAATACAATAAATAAACACGTGTAATATGTATAATTAGTAAGGGACAGCACAATTTTCTTTTGTACTGGGTTTATTTGTGGCCATCAGTCTATAAACAACAAGCCTATATATTTCCTGGAAAGTATTAAAGTACTTTTTACTAAGATATATTGTAAATCATTTTCACGCAATGTTAATTTAGGAGAGCGACACCTTAATTTGTTAGTACCATATAGAGTTATTCCCCTTCTACTGCTGATGCACTTTCCACTTCCTGCTTATGAATTACCGAAGATGAGTGAAGATGGGCCAAAAAACATCTTCGCTGGCATCCAAAGTGTCCAAATCGGTATCGTCTTTGTTCACTGGTGCTGTGGACGATAGCCAGTCATGCCAAAACAGATCTGCAGTAACACCTTTCGTCTTTAAGCGTTCTGGGTGAGTGACAGATCATCAGCTGATCTGTCTTTAGTTTAGACTGACTGCCATATCATTTTCAGGAATCCGGATATTGACAGACGATTAACGGTTATTGTATAAAACAAATCCATATGTGATAATCACATGTTTTAGATACTGTCGGATAATAGGGAAGTGTCTTAGGATTGCAAGGACTTAAAATTATTTAGTACACAAGCTTCAGTGTTTTTAATGAAAGCGCACATTCACGGCCACAAGTACACGTGCTTGTCTATACAATTACCGACCTACTGATTATAAATGGTACAGTGAGTGTGGGACACATAGAATGTAGACGTCCCCTATACTTCAAACTTCAACACACTTCCTCAACTATGAGTTTCTCTCACATTATATAACTAACACTTTGGAGTATACAGGTGCATTTTGTAGCTATACATAAGTTCTTACTTGTAAACATAAAGTAGAAATAACTTGGTTATAGTCTTTTCGCACGCTATACAGCATGACATAGCCTAAATAGATATTAGCGTTAACTGTTGAACACAAGAATTTATATTAACAAAAAATGCCAATTAAGTTTCCATATGATTGATTAACCATTCCACTTCCACTTGTTATTGTAACAAACTACTGATTCAGATTGCAATGTTATCATTGGTTCAGAGAAAATAAATTGGGGGGGGGGGGGTTGAGATCATATGTTCTTTGATAGATTTGAATTCACTACCAAAAGAAATTTAATGGCTAAATGGCTAAAACAGGCAGATGTAAGATAATACAAAATATTTTAGGTAATGATTATATATATGTGTGTTCTTGTTGTCCCTTTCTGAAACTGTGGTGTAGGTCAAATATCACTGAGAACAGATTCAACACCAAAGTTGTGGAAAGAGCAGTTTATCAGAAATATGATTTCAAAAAAGTACAATATTGATGTAGTCTAAAAGAACATTTAAGTTCAGGCTGAAAAAATTAAACATTGACAAATGTTAAAAATGCTCCCCAAGTCTAAATTACTTTGTGTACATCAGTTAACATATCCGAGTCGATGGATTGAGTATCTGAACTGTATAATATGTGCCACCAGAAATTGACATACAAATAGAATGGTGTCTGAGTTCATGGTATTAATTGGTGTTCCACAGCATAAATCTTGAGAAGTGTACAATTCACTTAAGTTTCTGCATGTGTTAGTGGATCCTCCCTTGAATGTGAAAACATTGAAGACTTGATAGATGTTATCGGTGTACAGTTTTCATTATGTTACCACAAAAAGTCAAATTTATAATCAGTGGTCTATTTATTTGTAATCAAGGTCTTCAAAAAACAAACTTGAAAAATGATGATATCATTACATTTTGTATATCGTGTCTAAATCTCACCACAAAGTATGAAGTAGACTTGAGAGTATGTTTTTGACTCCCAAAAGTATTGACCCTTTGGCTTGTAGGGACATGTCTATTTCACATCTGTTTTGATCCTCAACATTCAGATTTGTGATTTTATTTCTGAAACTGCTAAATGCAAATGTCAGGGGTCAACTTAATGTCCTGCCATCAACATGTGAAGAGAAATGCCAAGCTCCCTAGCTATTTATTTGCAATGAATTACATTGTGTAACCTCAGTTCTTGGATACAATATTCATGAATTTTATTGAGACCAAAAAATTTTTTTGTTTTCAAACAGGTCCATGTACTTTGATGAAGATGGTGACCTGGCTCATGAGTTTTATGTTGAAATAATTGAAGGCCGTCATCATTATATGAAAAAGCAGTATCGTAACCTTCGCCCTCAGGTAGGAGCTTGTACATTACATAAAAAAACTAAAAATAATGCAGTCTCGGGTGTTTACAAAAACATCTTTAAAAGTCCTTGTTGACATATTGGAAAATATCTTGGTAAATGATCATGTAAGAAAACACATTTTTTATATTATCATTAATGTAGGGTGAAGTTGACCTGCCTCATCCCCGCCTCAACGTAGACTTTCCCATTGTTATATGTGAAGCTCCACGGTGACACAGGACTGAAGGACACAAGTACTCAGTGTGTCCACACACGAAGATCAAAGGAAAGATGCAGCTGAATTCTAGTCAAATTGTCAAGCTTCTTGAACTTGCATGTCCCAGGATTCAGATCTGGGGAGTCTATAGCTTGTGAATCTTTAGCAGACAGAGTTTGTTGTGATGTGTATGAAACCATTCCTTGCTGTCATTAATTTGTTGAAAGAAATTCTTGATGTAGTTGTGAAATTCCAATTTATATATAAGAGTACTGTTGGTATGCACCATGTATCATGTATTTACCAAAATATTCATCTGGGGCACTTGATATTTCTCCAGCATTCCCTGATACAACAAGCACATACATATACTGAAAAGAGTATTCTCTTTGGTGTTGAAAGCAGGCCTATAAAAGAAATCAACACAATACATTGCAAGAAAGACAAGACAGATTTGTAAAATGTTAAATTGATTATATAACTCGATTACTAGCAATGTCCAGACTTTTCTGTTTTGGAAATACTTTTTATGATAATTCTTTTCAAGCAGTAAGATAGATTGGTATAACCTTCCTAAATTTATGATTGAGAGAAAATAATGTTATTGTAACAGATCAAAATACATTGAATTTCAGTTGAAAGTAAAACATTTGACTAAAGTTTACAAGGGAATTTTCTTTACACTAAATTCATGTATCATGGATTTTTCTTAACCTCTATAGTCATTTGCAGAGATATCAAAATAGATGTTAGATGATGATAGATGAGGTCATCTACCAAAGGATTTGTATAACCACCAGACAGAATTCTTCACTTGTAGTTCTTGTTTTATAAGAACCGAGATTGAATGGATATTGTCATGGGTGTATGCATGCTGAAAATAAATCAAGGGGTTATTTTGAAATTTGATTTGCTGCCAGTATGTATTATGATGTGAGGTTGTGTATGTTTATGTATTTTCACCTGCTGTCAGTGATTTTTGTGACTCCGATATACGAGTTGTGGACTCATGATTTTCAAAATTTGAGAAACAACTATATCTCTTAGTAATGGGACTCATCAAAATCTTGGAAATCATGCTCTGAACTTGCCTGAAAAAATCTATAAAAAGTACTGGCTGTGATGTTTTCTTTAGGCTTACCAGGATTTTATTGAAGGTGATAGATATGAATTTTGAAAAAATGTGACAACTTTCCAAAGGTTTTGTTTTTCTCCCTGTGTATATTTATTTCGTAGAGTAGTTGCCTGGTGGTGTTTAAGGTTGACTGTCCTGTTCCGAACAATAATTTATCCAGGGGTTTGGAGATCACTTGGGATGGAAGGGATGGATAATATAGATGGTTCCTGTTATAAACACTCTCTCCACCTTTAATTTCACAGCCAAGATAAGATGGACACCAAGACTGGAATTCGAGTAAGCCAGTACTCTGGGATTCAGACACTGTAAAACTTATTGGAAATCAAGGATTATTTCATACATGAATATTCCTGTAATCTGCCATGTACGTGATTCTGGTCAGTGGTCACAAATTTGAGATAAAATTGTCTAAAAGAATTGATCGTGAAAATATGACCAGTGTTTAATCTTGTTTTAGCCTATACTTATGCCTTGTATATTTCACAAGTCACATGATGATCAGTCATCCCCACAAAACCATGTTGTCAAATTGTTTTGTATCGGGATATAAATACTCTGAAGGATATTAACACAATCTGTGGTTTACATTTTACTAAAGCATGTCTGTAATATGTCTGAAAGATTCCTGTAGGTAACAGAGTTGGACATGTTCCCTTAATCAAAGTAGATTTTTGAAACAAGTTATGAAAATCTTACCTTGGTTTGGAGACATTCCATTATGAAATGGAAACAAAGAAGTTTATACAAGTATAAGTAACAGGGAAAGGATAAGTGTATTTAGATACCATGTGATACCAGTATCCATGTATTGTCTGAAATCATGATGTTTTGAGCGATTTTCATTCCTAATAAAAGTTCTATTTATTGGAATTCAGGAAAATTATTATATCAGTGTTGAAGTGTTGAAAATGTGTATACCTAATAGATGTCACATGATTTGTGTAACAAATTTGTCAACATCTCATTTGTAAATATATCATCATATGGTCACAGTGTTGTACCTTTTTATTTACATTTGAATTGTTTCCAGTTTGTACTTAAATTTTTTTAATGACCTGTATGTAGATCTGTGTCATTCCTGGAGTTGCTTTTGTAATGTTAACAGATGTGATATACATACCAGCACCTTAACGTCCTTTGGTCCAAACTACTGATAGAATATGCCAATTTTTTATGGCAGTTAACACCTGTTTGTCTCATTCGATTAAAGATATGTCATAAATTCTCTTAATAAATTCATTATCCAGGTATAGGATAGTACAGCCTGTCACTCTTGGATTGGAATCATTCATTACACTATTAAATTGATGACAAGAAGGAATCAGTAGATTTTTTTGCATCTCAGCCTGAGGGGAAAGATTTTTTGAGTTTCAAAACAGTCTTATTCTTAACAATTTTTCCCTGAGGGTTGAAATCTTGCTTGCTATCTCATGTACACAATGGCATTAATTTATTGTTTTGCATAAATTTTTTTATGTGAAGTAAATTTTTGCTAAGACATAATTGATCTGTTTGTTACAGTGATGTCATACAACCATTGTAACACGGAAAACACCCCTCCTCCTCAATCAGGGGGACTAGATAATCTCACATTGGTAAAAGCATGGTAACAAATGTCCAGGGCAAGAGAAATTATTCTCTACTTTATGATATTATAATTTTTAAAACATGTGGCCATCTAAATTATCCAATATTTTTACAGACTAGCCATTAGAATTGTAATGACTGATAACGTTATTTTGTTATGTGCATGTTCATCAAGTAGATAGAAGAAAAGATTGATATTCATTTTCTCTTCGTTAAACGTGTATAACCAAAGATAACAAAAACCTGGAGAATTATTGCCAGAATTTTAATACGTATGGGTTGGACAAATCATGAAGAACGATAATGTCACTTGGTGCAAATAACCGACAAACATAGTAACTTTTCTGTTTTTGTTTTCACATTAGCATTAAGTTCATCTAACAATTATCATACCTACTTGTACAAGTAAAAATAAGTTTAAAAGCTATTTCCTTGATGTATCTTTCAAGTACAATTTCTGTCAAATTCAATGTAAGTTTGTTTTTGTCAAGTGATTGCCAAAAGATAACTAGGTACGTTTATGAATAATTGCAAAATTAATGCCATAACTAGGAGAAAAGAAGAATGAAAGGCGACTTCAAATTTCTTATGTCATCTGTGGCTTGTATTCAGCAACACTTTATAGGGAAATCATTATAGAATGAAGTGATACATAACACACCAATTTTATTAGTCAAGTTTTTCTCATTATTTCCAAATGTTCTTTTTCTGCCTGTTATTAATTTTAATTGTATCCCTTAATTCATTTAACAATTCCAAAACTATTGAAAAAGTCTTTATTGTTTATATATCAAAATACAGATTAAGTAGTTTGTTTTGCACCATAATTAGGGTTTATAAAGATAAGCAAAATCAGGGTATTTAAGTTTTGGTAAAATGTTTTGCAAGGTTTTATATACAAGTGTATATTTTTTTGTTTTCCACATTCAATCTCAGGTTTCCTATGTTACCTTGGCAACTACACAGGTAACTTTGAAAGTGTATTCATGCACACCTGTAATGTATTTGTTCTTACCTTATCATTTTTTCAAAATTTCATTTTGTAATGTGGATTTAAACTATATAATCAACAGATAATGGTATCAATAATATCGAAGACAATACCTGGTAAATTATGTTATATTTCGATTTTACAAGTGTGACAATGAGCTTTTGACGACATACACAGATGTAGGGGACAGCGTTGCACATGGATATAACCAGTGTCTGTTTGGTTAAGGTGGTAGTTGTTCACTTAGAAGTGTATGATCTATTGCTGAAATTGATGGTTTAATAGAATTTGTGTGCTAAGATTATTACATTGTTGTCCTCTAGCCACACTAGATGTATGTTCTCTGCATCTCTGTATATAATATATTGTAATGTTGTATTGATGAGGATCAAATATCATTGACACAGTACCTGTAGACCAAACTTATTTATTTATATAATTTATAATCATGTTACATTTACAAAAGATGTGTTGTCTGATGACAGTTGTGACTACTACGAATAATATGATTGATTTGATGTAGATTGTGAATATCACCTGAAAAAAACAACTTATCGAGAGTTATCTCCCTTTAACCAGTATACTGTTGGCTCTGCCACTTTTAATAGCTTTAAGTTTAGTGTTGTATAATCTATAAATTCTAGAAATTTATCATTAGTCAGATCACTTAAACAAACCAGTTCAATAATTATCGATTATAGAAACAGTGAGGTTATATTTTTGTTCCTGTGAAAATTATGACTGAATACACTAATATACACTTTTCTGTGTATTTCAATTTTACCAATTCCTTTATTTATGAATGTATGTGTGTGCTCTACACTTCCATGCTAATAAAGCCATTGCCTGCATGCTGCTTCCTTGATTGTGTGTGTGTCCATTCACTTCCATGCTGATAAAGCCATCAACTGCAAGCTGTTTCCTTGATTGTGTGTGTGTGAGCCCTACTCTCCTGTTATGATGAAGACATTGGTTAGACTCTGTTCCTTCCCTTGATCGTGTGTGTGAGCTCTACTCTTCTGTTACGATGAAGACATTGGTTAAACTCTGTTCCTCCCCTTGATCATGTGTGTAAGCCCTACTCTTCTGTTATGATGAAGACATTGGTTAGACTGTTCCTCCCCATGATCGTGTGTGTGAGCTCTACTCTTCTGTTACGATGAAGACATTGGCTAGACTCTGTTCCTCCCCATGATTGTGTGTGTGAGCTCTACTCTTCTGTTACGATGAAGACATTGGCTAGACTATGTTCCACCCCTTGATCATGTGTGTGAGCCCTACTCTTCTGTTACGATGAAGACATTGGTTAGACTCTGTTCCTCCCCTTGATTGTGTGTGAGCCCTACTCTTCTGTTACGATGAAGACATTGGTTAGACTCTGTTCCTCCCCTTGATTGTGTGTGAGCCCTACTCTTCTGTTACGATGAAGACATTGGTTAGACTCTGTTCCTCCCCTTGATTGTGTGTGAGCCCTACTCTTCTGTTACGATGAAGACATTGGTTAGACTGTTCCTCCCCTTGATTGTGTGTGAGCCCTACTCTTCTGTTACGATGAAGACATTGGTTAGACTCTGTTCCTCCCCTTGATTGTGTGTGAGCCCTACTCTTTCGTTATGATAAAGACATTGGTTAGACTGTTCCTCCCCTTGATTGTGTGTGAGCCCTACTCTTCTGTTATGATGAAGACATTGGTTAGACTGTTCCTCCCCATGATTGTGTGTGAGCCCTACTCTTCTGTTACGATGAAGACATTGGTTAGACTGTTCCTCCCCTTGATCATGTGTGTGAGCCCTACTCTTCTGTTACGATGAAGACATTGGTTAGACTCTGTTCCTCCCCTTGATTGTGTGTGAGCCCTACTCTTTCGCTATGATAAAGACATTGGTTAGACTGTTCCTCCCCTTGATTGTGTGTGAGCCCTACTCTTCTGTTATGATGAAGACATTGGTTAAACTCTGTTCCTCCCCTTGATCATGTGTGTAAGCCCTACTCTTCTGTTATGATGAAGACATTGGTTAGACTGTTCCTCCCCATGATCGTGTGTGTGAGCTCTACTCTTCTGTTACGATGAAGACATTGGCTAGACTCTGTTCCACCCCTTGATCATGTGTGTGAGCCCTACTCTTCTGTTACGATGAAGACATTGGTTAGACTCTGTTCCTCCCCTTGATCATGTGTGTGAGCCCTACTCTTCTGTTACGATGAAGACATTGGCTAGACTATGTTCCTCCCCTTGATTGTGTGTGTGAGCCCTACACTTCTGTTACGATGAAGACATTGGTTATACTCTGTTCCACCCCTTGATTGTGTGTGAGCCCTACTCTTCTGTTATGATGAAGACATTGGTTATACTCTGTTCCACCCCTTGATTGTGTGTGAGCCCTACTCTTCTGTTACGATGAAGACATTGGTTAGACTCTGTTCCTCCCCTTGATTGTGTGTGAGCCCTACTCTTCTGTTATGATGAAGACATTGGCTAGACTCTGTTCCTCCCCTTGATTGTGTGTGTGAGCCCTACTCTTCTGTTACGATGAAGACATTGGTTAGACTGTTCCTCCCCATGATCATGTGTGTGAGCCCTACTCTTCTGTTATGATGAAGACATTGGTTAGACTGTTCCTCCCCATGATTGTGTGTGTGAGCCCTACTCTTCTGTTACGATGAAGACATTGGTTAGACTGTTCCTCCCCATGATCATGTGTGTGAGCCCTACTCTTCTGTTATGATGAAGACATTGGTTAGACTCTGTTCCACCCCATGATTGTGTGTGTGAGCCCTACTCTTCTGTTACGATGAAGACATTGGTTAGACTGTTCCTCCCCATGATCATGTGTGTGAGCCCTACTCTTCTGTTACGATGAAGACATTGGTTAGACTCTGTTCCTCCCCTTGATTGTGTGTGAGCCCTACTCTTTCGTTATGATAAAGACATTGGTTAGACTGTTCCTCCCCTTGATTGTGTGTGAGCCCTACTCTTCTGTTATGATGAAGACATTGGTTAGACTGTTCCTCCCCATGATTGTGTGTGAGCCCTACTCTTCTGTTACGATGAAGACATTGGTTAGACTGTTCCTCCCCTTGATCATGTGTGTGAGCCCTACTCTTCTGTTACGATGAAGACATTGGTTAGACTCTGTTCCTCCCCTTGATTGTGTGTGAGCCCTACTCTTTGTGTAAAGACATTGGTTAGACTGTTCCTCCCCTTGATTGTGTGTGAGCCCTACTCTTCTGTTATGATGAAGACATTGGTTAAACTCTGTTCCTCCCCTTGATCATGTGTGTAAGCCCTACTCTTCTGTTATGATGAAGACATTGGTTAGACTGTTCCTCCCCATGATCGTGTGTGTGAGCTCTACTCTTCTGTTACGATGAAGACATTGGCTAGACTCTGTTCCACCCCTTGATCATGTGTGTGAGCCCTACTCTTCTGTTACGATGAAGACATTGGTTAGACTCTGTTCCTCCCCTTGATCATGTGTGTGAGCCCTACTCTTCTGTTACGATGAAGACATTGGCTAGACTATGTTCCTCCCCTTGATTGTGTGTGTGAGCCCTACACTTCTGTTACGATGAAGACATTGGTTATACTCTGTTCCACCCCTTGATTGTGTGTGAGCCCTACTCTTCTGTTATGATGAAGACATTGGTTATACTCTGTTCCACCCCTTGATTGTGTGTGAGCCCTACTCTTCTGTTACGATGAAGACATTGGTTAGACTCTGTTCCTCCCCTTGATTGTGTGTGAGCCCTACTCTTCTGTTATGATGAAGACATTGGCTAGACTCTGTTCCTCCCCTTGATCATGTGTGTGAGCCCTACTCTTCTGTTATGATGAAGACATTGGCTAGACTCTGTTCCTCCCCATGATTGTGTGTGTGAGCCCTACTCTTCTGTTACGATGAAGACATTGGTTAGACTGTTCCTCCCCATGATCATGTGTGTGAGCCCTACTCTTCTGTTATGATGAAGACATTGGTTAGACTGTTCCTCCCCATGATTGTGTGTGTGAGCCCTACTCTTCTGTTACGATGAAGACATTGGTTAGTGTTCCTCCCCATGATCATGTGTGTGAGCCCTACTCTTCTGTTATGATGAAGACATTGGTTAGACTCTGTTCCACCCCATGATTGTGTGTGTGAGCCCTACTCTTCTGTTACGATGAAGACATTGGTTAGACTGTTCCTCCCCATGATCATGTGTGTGAGCCCTACTCTTCTGTTACGATGAAGACATTGGTTAGACTCTGTTCCTCCCCATGATTGTGTGTGAGCCCTACTCTTCTGTTACGATGAAGACATTGGTTAGACTCTGTTCCTCCCCATGATTGTGTGTGTGAGCCCTACTCTTCTGTTACGATGAAGACATTGGTTAGACTGTTCCTCCCCATGATCATGTGTGTGAGCCCTACTCTTCTGTTACGATGAAGACATTGGTTAGACTCTGTTCCTCCCCATGATTGTGTGTGAGCCCTACTCTTCTGTTACGATGAAGACATTGGTTAGACTCTGTTCCTCCCCATGATTGTGTGTGAGCCCTACTCTTCTGTTACGATGAAGACATTTGCTGGAAGCTGTTTCTCCTCTTGACAACATTCCTGTAAAACCTGGACCAACATTTTTGAGTGACATAAGTCAAGGATTGTAATTATCATTGACCAGTTTGTGTTATGATAATCAACAGTATCAGAGTGAACCTGGTTTTGAAATGTTCTGTATAAGCCTACGACTGAGTCAGAGGTGCCCCTTAGCTTAGTACAGTACAAGATCAGTACGCAAGTATATACATTATCTTTGTAGAGTTGTGTGACATTAAACAGTTTTAGGTTGTTGTGATAGAATGACATCCCTTGTAGTAAATTACATGTAGACAATGTTTTGTTAAAATATAGAGATCTTGTGTAGTTAATAATGGAAATGACGTCTGGAAGAGAATCTTGTGTGTGATGACATGTTGAATGCATGCATACAATATTATGTGATAATTACAATATACCATACCTTATTTGAAATAAACATTGTAAAACATGTATGACTGGCATAACTTTCTGGTATATCAATATTGCTAATATTTTTCAAGTATAATAACTCGAGTTGTTGTTTTGTCATCATATGTAAAAGTACTTATTTGGCACAATCAAACTTTGGCACATTGCCACTTTTAGTAATGTCCTTGATCTGTTAACTTAATATTAAAATAACACTAGTCAGGAACAAATGAACAGATGCTGACCAAATGTGGTCAGAAGCATCCTTGGGGGAAAGGGAACCTAGTTTGTATGAATGTTTATCTTGCCCACAGGGGACTGAGGAGCTGGGCCCAAAAGATAGTACAATAGTACTCCTCTTGTAGGAATAAATGGATATTGCCCAAATTCACTCTGAAATATGAGACCTCGACCCCTGGGATGGGAGGGGCTGAGCATAATTATTTAAGGTTTTATTAAGGCACAAACTAAAGTGTTGTCACACTGAAATATCGTTAACTGGTAAAAGATTAATCTGTCATAGCTGACTTGGCCACATAAAGAAATGCATGTTCTGTCATTTACCAAACATAAAAAGATTGTGGAGTAAATGACAGAATATCAAAGCCTGACAGTTAACACAATGGAATCCAATCAGGATCACATTAAATCTTAATGCTAGAAACCTATAGACACAAAAAAAATTCTAGGGTCAAAGGTCAGAATTAGAGAGCCTAACATTGAAGAATTCTTTGCTATAATATTCTTCGCTTACAAAATAAACTAAAAAAAAGTTTCAAAAAGATAACTTTTATTTCTGTTTTAGTTAAAAACAGTCATTCTGTTTTTGTTAAAGACAGTCATGTTTCAAAACATCAAATTAGTGTTTAGACAGGAGTTTATTGAATAATAACTAAACACACCAAACAAATTCAGTTGTGTTCAAATACAAATAATATGGTTCCAATTTTTCCCCAAAGACACTAACAAATATGATTTCATTGGGGAATACTTGGAAAATTGCATTTGAGTACAAACTTGTTCAAGTATGTCCCTGATACGGAGATGCCAGGGTTACAGACTCTCGTCTCCGTCACAAAGCCAGACTCCTGAACCAACTACCCCCATGAGGCCAATACCAGAATCAGACTGGGGAAAATCAATACCATCAGATCTGCTAAGCTAACAGACTGAATTGCTTGTAATCTAGCATTTGTACAATTGAATTGCAACCTATTGAGCCATGATAATACATAGAGTGGGGAACTATTTGTTCTCTGGTAGTGTAATACAAAAATCTTACACAATTCATGGCTTATAATCAGGAGAATATTCATGTAGCACACATAACTTGAATTTGATATAAACTATCAAATGACTTGTGCTTTATTGCTGTTTTTTTGTAAAACTTATTACTCAACATGAAGCCTATTTTAAACTATCACACACATAAATATCTGCTTATTGGAAACTTTTGCATAATAAACTACTAATCTGACAACTATCGCACCATTAAACACAACACTTAGCTTATCAGGAAACTATCATACACCAACCAGCACTGAGTTCTTGTCGGAGTTCTCACAGAGGTCTAATCAGGAAGTTACAACACTGGAAGTATCATGAAACTCGTCATGCCACACAATGGCTGTCACATCACATATTTGTATACTTTCTTTCGACATTATCACACCACAGTTGATCTAAAAGATTGTGATGCTCTAACACTTTTATTCAGTATGGTACAGTAATGGTGTCCATTAGAATCAAATATCTCTCTTTATTCCATTCGTAAGTGACTCTGTGACATCTGAAACAAAAATAAAACAAAACAAAAACTTAGCATATTCAAAATTATTACCAGATATTAATCATTGTCTTTACTGACCAAAATATAGATAATTTATTAAACTATTGAATGAATTCTTCCCTTTTAATATCATGTGCCTAATGTGTGATAAATATTACAATGATATAAACCAAAATGTGACATTAAACAGCATGATATTAAAAGAAGCTGCTTTTCTCTTCATACTCAGGTTGTATATATCAAGCAAAATAAATCCCGCAAAATGAATTAAATAGATACAACATGTACCTTTTTTATATTACTGTTCAGTTTCATTGCCACCATATGGAAATGACAAAAATATTGATATCATTATATAACACATGGTTCAATATGATTGTCAATATTAAACGGCTATAAAACACATTTTGTTATTTCATTGACAACAGTCATTAAACGGTTTATTAGTTTCTCCATGCTACAGCGCCCTGAGTTGATATATATATCATTCCTTCAGAAGAGATTTGACAGATCAAGTAGAGAACACATATGTATAGTCAGTGAAATATTCCAAAACAATCAACTTGTCATTAAAGTGTCATTTGAGGTTGTTTTTTTATTATTACTGAAGGTTTCTATACATAGTAATTTCTGTTCTGGTTGGTTCAGCTCAACAGAAATAAAGTCAAACAATATGCAAACATAGTAATCAAAGAGACAACCCTATACTTCCTGTAAAACTTTGTAATGAAGCCATCAAAGGGTTTAAGATATAATTAAGATATGGTTACCCTGTAATTCCTGTACAACTTTGTAATGAAACCATCAAACAGTTTAACATATAATTAGTTATTATTGTTCCTTTGTTATAATTTCAGACCATCCTTGTCAACTTTTAAATTTGCAGGAATCAGGGCATCAATATATCCATTATCATGTGACACAGATCATGTGACACTCTGGCGGAACTAAGTGGCTGTGTCCGGCAGCTTCTGGTTCATTGCGTTTTGGAGGGATCAATACTCGATTTACGATGTGGTGTAGTATGTGACACTCTAATTACACATCAGGATTCTGATGAAACACCTGACAGTGTTCCAAAACCATAACGACAGTACACAGCCTAAAACTACACCAATTATACGGAGCCCAGTGAACACAACAGGTTTCACATTTCGTTAAGCCATTGATGTTTCACAAGATTGGGGTTTGATATTACTACCATTAATAGTTCCATAATTGATAGTAAATTACAAAATCAAAGAAAAATCACATTACAACATTTCTAGAAAAGAAGTCATCTAGTGCAACCTTAGTCATTTTGTGTTTTCCCATGAATTTTCTATGATACATAATGTTACTAAATTATGCTCTATTTTTTTAATGAAATAAGCAAAATTTCAAATTTCCTTTGTCTGTAAAAAAATATATATGAAATAAAATATGAATTATGATCTTTCAGGTCAATTCATTTGTGACATCTGTAACACAATAACACAAATAACACATCATCCAAAAATGTAATTTCAAATCACATGATCTATTAAAATAACAACATCTGCTATTAAAAATTAAAATATATTCATTTAAATTTCGAAAAATTGAACAGTTAAAACAGATAAGACAAGATATTTTAATGGCATAATTCGGCTGTTATCCAGTGTATTCCCCTTGTAATATCTTTTTCATAGTATTTTTGTGCATGCCTATGAGTATTTTTTCATTGGCTTGGACAGTCAGAAATCAATTGTGTAATCATAACATGATCAAAGATGTATTTTTTTCCTCCACATTATAACTTTTGATTTGAAGAAAATTGAAGTTGAATATGGAACTTTTTTTAGTATGCTAAGTTTCCCTGTCTTTGGCACTTGGCACTTTCTCTCTTAATAAGCTAAAACAAAGTATTCTATATGACCTGAAATAACCATGACATTTGACCACTCAGTTAAAAATAACTAGGGTTCATGATGTCATGACAGGGAACAAGTATGTCAAGTAAAATTGTTATGTTAAGTTTTTGTGGCATTTAAGAACTGCTGGCATTCAAATTCTTGTGAGGGAATTAGAGACCTTTAATAAATTGAAACCTTTCTTTGTTTGCTTTGAAATGATTTATTTTCGAGGTGCAAAAATTTGGAGGTTTCCCAAAAATATGCATTTTTTGTTGACACTTGATTTCATGAATATTCATGAAATCTGCAAGTACTATTATCTATGTCAATTTTTATTTGTTATTATCATTTTATGGACATCTCATTTGTGTATTTAGAGCACCCACAAATTCAACAGAAATAATTCTCTCACAAAAAGATGTTTATTTTATTGTAAGCAGATCCCAACATGTACCATGATTGTCATTTAACATAAGATATTATGTCATTATAAACTCTGGCAATAATTCTCAAACGTCAGTACACACCGTATAGATCTTTGACCGATTTGGGAATACAGTCTAAATATGGAAAGAAAACTGCCATTGAATAAATCATTTGTGGTCATGGTTGTGTAGATATTTACAACCAGTGGGAAATTGGGTTCCAACAGAGTGACTCTGACAGGAATAGAACACTCTCTTACATGGCTTCTGTAGACAAAATGTCAACTCTAGGGCATACAGGAGGCAGTTTGAGCTGCAGAATATGTATCTACATCAATTTTCTATGGCAGGTCTCAGTGGGAAAGTCAGAAAAGTAGCAAATAGTGATAGGACCTGAAAAAGCAGCACAATAGAACAAATTCCTTTGTGGGTTTTGTGTGTTGGTAAACATAAATATTTAATGAACAATCCATCACAGTGATATGGCTGCAACTCCCAAAGGAGACATTACTATATCTGTAGCATGTAATACACAGAAGATCCCAACACAAAAGATACCATCTCCTTCCACACTTATCTTCACAAAGATTATCAAATTAGTCTTTACAATCATTTACAAAAGTTATCTGCCAATTCTCAAAGCAATATACGTCATAAAATGAAATCAATTTAAGTATTTATTGAATGATTTTGAAAACATCCTGAAACGTTACGATTTCATGCATACAAACTATTCTGTGATCTATATCAACATTCTGTATCAGGGAGGAGGAGACTGGAGGAGTTTTCTAACGTTACTTGACAGTTAATGTTTTGTCTTGAAGAGAAATCAATAGATTTATTTTTTTTCAGTTGCATCTCTGTACGGAGACAAACAAGATCAGCGAGACTGGTACATACATACACAGAATTTCTTTACCCAACACAGCAATCACTTGTGTGAACCATCTATATATATATATTTTAATTATTTCAAAGTCATTTCTTTTTTATCAGCTGTTTTGAATTCCCAAATCTCTCCTTCTTACGAGATAAACACAATGGAGTCATTCATCATTTAATCATTCTTTTCAGAATAAAGTTTCCATAAATATTCAAACTTTATGTAAATTCTTTTCAACAGGAAATACTTACACTTCAGTTTTCCATATAAATGCATTACTGTGGATAATAAGAGAGAGAAATTTTAATTACTCTCCCTTTTTTTTACCTGAAACACCCCAGGGGATCAATATACCAAGTCTCGCTTGAAAGTCAGGGGTAGGCTTATATACTGCAGGACAATACATAAAACAAATGATTGAATTCTTATGGATAGGCTTTCCAAGCCACCAGGATCACTGAACTTTTCCCTGATTCTCTAAGTTAAGATGTCATGTGTCAGAGGTGAAGGTCATAATTTCTGAACGATCCTATGATGTGAAATACATTGTAGATTGCATTTAAAAAATAAATTTCCTGATGATATTGAATCTTGATGTCTTAAGATTTAGTCAAGGTCAAGGTCAACATCATTATGCCAATGCATATGTTTAGCTTTTCAGATACTTTCCGCAGTTTAAAAGGTCAACCAGTATGATCAAATGCATATGTTGTCAAGTTTTTAGAGGGATTTCTGGAAACACGTGGAGGGAATGAAAATGCAGAGTTGATTAGAGGTTATAGTTGGGGGGGGGGGGGGACAGGTGGAGTGAAAGGGGGCAAGAAGTGGTGTTGAGAAACAGACAGAAAGGGAAAGAGAGGAGTGAAGAGAAAGCAGAGAAAATGGAGGGGAAGGGGAGGTGAGTGGAAGAAGAGAAATAAGTAGAAGGGATGGGCAGACTAAGAAAGAGGGAGACAAGTGAAGGGAAATGGGGAGGCAAGTGGAGAGCAGGGAAACAAATGGAGGACGGGGGTAGACAAGGAGAGGGCAATGGGGCAAGTGGAGAGTGGGGAGATGCACTGAGGACAGGGCAGACAGAGAAAGGGGGAAATATGTGAAGGGAAAGGGGAGGCTATTTGAGGGGAGGGGGAAAGACAAGTGGAGGGCAGGGAAGACAGAAAAGGGGAGACAAGAGATGGGAAAGGGAGGGGAATGAACTGGAGGGTGGGAAGGGAAGGGAGGTAAATGGAGGACTGGGGATGAATGGAAGGGAGGGGAGACTTGTTGCAGACAATGGCAGGAAAGTCAGGAAAACAAGTGGAGGGCAGGGAAATGAGTGGAGGCCAGGGGAGACAAGTGACAGTTGCCGACGAGGGGAATGGAGGAAAAGACGGACACAAGTGGAAAGGAGATAGGAACAAGTGGAAGGGAGAACAGGGAAAGAGGAGAAACAAAGTTGAGTAGAGAAGACAAGTTGAGTGAATCTTGGGAGAAGAATAGAGAAAGGTGCAAGAACTGAAGCCATATCTCTCTCCCAATACTCTTGTTATAAGATTCAGCTCTCTACTGGGATTTGTTATCCTACTATTGATTTGATTGCAATGCTGATTAGCTTTGTAAGCAGCATGTAGTCTGACCAAACCCAGTAGATAGGAGCACTAATGACTCAGAGAAACACTTACATGTATAATTTTGCAACTTAAAATAAATCTAACAAACAGTTTAAGGTACAAAATAAAATATTCTTTGAAAATCTTGTACGTAGCTGCCGAATGTTCCATGATAACGCTGATGACCAAGGCCAATTCAATAAGTACTCAGATGGTGAACCAATAATTG